CGTCTGCGATGGAAGACCTCTGAAGACGAGCTGAGCCGCTGTCTTCTGACCGCCAGTGGCCGGCTTCTCGCCGGGTCCGCATTGCTCTGTCGAATTTCGCGTCCCTATTCGGGCAGCAGTAATGTCTCTGGGCACTGGGCAGAGCGGCCTTAGTGAGCCATTCGGAGCCGTCGGCGACGGGCCGGCGCGAAATACTGCACCGTAAAAGGTCTCGGACGCTGCCCACACGAGGTGCGCGCGCCCTCGGTAGTGGGCTGTGTCCGGCTAATATCGCGACTTGTGTCGTGTCCGGACAGTATCGCGGTTTGTGCCTTATACCGCTATAACGGCGGTTTTGAGGCTTCTGACAATATGGTCGGCTGGTAAAACTAGTATAACCTATCTGATGCTTTCTTGCTTACTTACTTACCTGGAAAACCCTAATCCATCGAACCCAATTTCATTCTTCTGGCTGTGCTGCGGGCTTTTATCGTGGTGATTATCGTGCTGTGTCCGGCTAACTTTGAGTCTGTCTGCACTCGGAACAGGCAGGGCGAGGCAGGGTAATGCGACGGGTTGGGCTAATCTACTGAGTTAGCCGTGAAGTGTGCGGGGACGGTGGTAACTGCTTCAGAAGGGCAATATTGGGTCTGTGTAGCGTGGCAGTCGTTTTATTTCTAGCAGTCAACTACCTAGTTGAAAGCTTCCGGGTTTGATTGTTTGCGTCTGGAATGGAAGGATTCTTTTACCAATGATATTTATTGAATTGCTTGGTGTTTTGTGTCTGTTTGGTTTAAGGTGGTGAGTGTTGTTGGCTCTTTTACTATTGCCTAAGTGTTACAAGAAACGTCTATATCGTCCCCAACCAACAAGAGACTTTCTGTCAACATTTAGGAGACTAGAGATGGTCAATAAAAGGGCCAAGTGCCGGCTTGTGAGTTAGTGGTGCAGCAGCGCGGGGGCACTGGTAGTGATTGTTGCGCGGCTGGGCGACAATTGCGGCGCGTGGCGCGCTGCTGGCCGCTGCCTCCCGCGCCGCGCCGGACCTATCGATTGGGCTACAGGTGGCCCAGGGCGGCGGTGGCGATACCGCTGATGGCTCCCGGGCAGCCGACAGAGCCGCTCTGTCATCGCGATCGGAGCACAATCCATCGGCAGCTCGACAGCAGGAAATGTGCCCAGGAGCCTACGATCGCCGGCCTTAGATGTGTGACAGGTAGTCAAAGCATGGCTTTGGCTTACCTAGAACGAGGGACACGTGATACCTTCCCTATGTCTGATGGAAGTCGTACACTTTCAGACGGCACTTTTCAGACAGCAATAAGCTTCATAAATATTGACCTAGTCGTACACTTATCCCTCGTCGCAGCGCCACATTTAGTTCAGTGATTATTTTTTTGAATAGAAAACAAAAACAATATTGCAACGAGATCCGGGTTTATCTCACCATGTGGCACATTTACTTCCCGGTTGCGGCCTTTACTCTGGAATTTGACTCTCAAGCTGCCTGAAATACATAGCCCTATGTCCGCGTTGAGGAGCGAATTGTCAGGCTCATCTTACAAACTGTACATATGTACTCAACGACAACTTCAAAGGACATCCATCACCACACAAATGGCTTTAATTACATACGCTTTTCCTCATTCCTCGTCTGACACTTCGTGGAAAATAATGAAATGCAATCACGTGATAAAAAGTGATCTGGACCCATAAGGAGCGAGACAAAGCATCTCTATCTCCATAAATACCTAAATTGGAACTATTCATTATTATTTAGCTTTTATAATTTTTACTCGCCAGTTTGCACGAGCCGCTTACCTAGCAATGCTAGCATGTATCAGATTGCGCGTGAAGGTTCATGTAAAACGGCACGGCGGTAAGGGTGGCGTTCGATCTCGAACCTTTCCGCCAATCCCGTCTTTCATCGCTCCTGTCTTCCCAAACCCTCTCTACCGCTCACATCTCTACCTCTGCGGAAGTCGGCGTCTGCTATGCGACCTCTCCGCGTCGTCACTCTGGTTGGCATGCGATCCGCCCTGTCCGAGCCAGCGCCGACACCGCCGGGCCAAATGCAAAGTGTCGCGCCCGCCGAATTCCGACTAGATGATCGATCGCACTGCAGTGCACCACGGTGACACGGTCGCTTCCCGCACCGCGTCAACTCCCACGCCCTGTCCAGCTTCAGAGTCGTGATGTTTTATTACGATAATTCTTGCTGCGCTTTAGCGTTATGTTCTTTAGAATTCATCGACATCATCTGTTACTACTCGGCGAGCCTCGCTCCATACAACTTCATTCACTTCCTCTCTTTCTCTCTCTCTCTCTCTCTCTCTCTCTCTCTCTCTCTCTCTCTCTCTCTCTCTCTCTCTCTCTCTCTCTCTCTCTCTCTCTCTCTCCCTCTCTCTCTCTCTCTCATTCTCTCTCTCTCTGTCTCTCTCTCTCTGTCTCTCTTTTTCTCTCTCTCTCTCTATGCTTATCTTTTTATGTTTCTTTATCGACTGGTCAAACTTACTTGATGCTATAGGTCTGCTGTAACATGTTAGGTTTCTTTCTTGTGAGTTGGTGAATGGTTATCTCATTTAGGACACATGGGTGATCCAAAAAATTGGAACCCCTAACTTAAAATGTCTTTAAGTCAGAAAATTTTCACTTTATTGACAAATTGCAAACACCATTAGAAAGAGCGCTCAATTATCTATAAACCAAGTTGATTGAACTTATTTTTTATTATAAATATTGCCCTAGACATATGCCTATAAAATTTGTGTCACGAAACTCAGTGAAACGGTTTTGAACATTATGCGCAAATCAGTGATTGACGGTTTGCTGTTCTGACCATGTCGCTTGTTGGAGGTTCATGAATAAAAATAGCTCATTCACGTGCTATTGTAAGGAAAGGAAAGGCTGATGGCCTGCTGGGACCAGTTGTCCCAGAGAATGCTGGTCCGCGCTGTCGGAGCTGTCCCCAAGCAACTGCAGGCCTGCGTGACGGCCCACGGAGCTCGCGTCGAGCACATGCTGGGATGAACAGTGGAAGAGCTAGGACGCGTGTATCTGTTCTACTGTGTGCTTCTGTGTAAACTTTTATGAAATAAAATTGAATTTGGATGTGGTGTTATTCGCAAAAAGACAACAGATAGAGTGCTCACGGATTTCAGCGCATTGTTAGCATTTGGCGATTTCGTTTCACTCAGTTTTCTGACGCTCATTCCAAAAGCTAATAGTGTACCAATGCTTTACAATATACATGCACCAATTTGACGTGTGTTATAGGGGATTTAATGCTCTTTCTAATGGTGTTCGCAATTTGTCAATAAAGTGAACATTTTCGGACTTATAGACATTTTAAGTTAGGGGTTCCAAATTTTTTGGATCACCCTGTACATCGTTAACATTTGATAATTACTGTAGTAGCCTACAGGGTGTTTCACTAAAATTGTCAAAAAGTAGGGGAGAGTGGGGTGGGTTGTATCAGTTTTTACTCCGTGACCCATAAACTCGTAACTATCCGTGATAAACTCATTATTTCCAAACTATCCCCTTCCTTGATTCTTCTGCTTTTTTGAGCAAAGTAACTTTTCCGCTAACTCTACCAGTTTTTCTTCTACGGTCTGCCGAATAGAACAATGTTTTTGATACAACTTGCCCCATGGCTTGGGTGAGTTGTATCACATGGTGGGGTAATTTGTATCACTATTTCATGTTTCAGGGAGTGTGCTTGCTACTGGTTTTGAACATAACAGCAACATTAAATGGGGTTAATACAATGTATAGGTGTGCTCAAAGGCTTCACTTTATTAGACCAAACTTAGGTCAATGCAATCCGAACGAAACATCAACAGACTAGACGCAAAAGTGGCCCGTTAAGAGCAAAGAAGCCAACACATTGTGCCGAAATGGAACGAGCATTGACTATGCTACCTACAAACGCGAGCCAGGGCTTAGCTTTCGCGATCAAAAGCAACACACCCATACATACATACATACATACATGTTACAACATACCCCACCCGGCTCTGATACAACATGTACCTAGCCGCCATGGAAAAACATCCTCGTGCTAAAAAAAAAATAGCGGACAGCTGGAGAAATCCGTTTTCACTCACGCAGCCTTAGAACCTACCCTCACCACCGCTACGGAGATTTTTCAAATTCGTGCACATCTAAATGCCCAAAACACACATTTTCTTGCAACTTATTTTTTTAGAATGACATTAAAAAAACATAAAATCGGCTCTCACCTCGAGACGCGTCCACTCAGCCACAAGACAGAACAGGGAAAGATGGCGCCCGGAAAACCTCGTCGGCTGGTCGTGTCGCGAGCGCCATCCATTGGATAAGTTTGGCACAATTCGCCCTGATACAACTTGGACATGATACAACTCTCCCCGCTCTCCCCTAAATGCCTATTAAAGATATATAGAATATGCAAATCGCGTGGCTGCGCACGTGGCTTTGTAGTGGCTGTAGACGATGGACATTTATTTTAGATATTTGATAAGTTTCACAAGTTATTGCTAAGATGTCAGTCCACTCAGATTGACGGGCCACGAGGTATAAGGTCACACATATGATTCATATTAGTGCGAAAGTCGAGCGGCTCCATCAAATTAAGGTCATCCCTTCAGCCAACAGGTGATGCCGAACATAAAACTAATCCCCGGATCAGTTCAGGCAGTTAATTTCAGCTCTCCCCCAGGCGATAGCGGGAAGGAGCCACAGTGTCCTATCAACCACGGTAGGTAACCGAAGGTTTGTTGTCAATAGTTAAAACACTATTCTTTAGAATTGTGTTTTTCTATTGAAAAACAAATCTGTGTTCCCTGACAATTTGACAAAAGCTGCCTGAGATCAGTAAGCTCTCAGACTAGGTCCAGATGTTCCAGGAATCAAAATACGTTCGTATTACACTAAGTAAGTGACAAAGAAAACACCGACGGCATTTACAACTATTCACAAAGCACACTGATTCTGCATACCTTCCGTCTCCTTACCATTCGACTGGGCTGTCATTCCAGGTCATCCAGCACCTAACGTCACCTGGTGGCTGGACGGCGAACTGCTGGACGACTCATGGGAGAGAGACGGCGACGGTCTCACCTCGAACACGCTGCGTCTGGAGCGGCTGCAGCGGCACGACCTGCTGCGCACGTATACCTGTTCTGTCAGCAACAGTCAGCTGCAGAAGCCGCTCACAGTCGCGCTCCGACTCGACGTCACATGTGAGTACCGGCTTACTATGAGCAGGTGTCGACGCCCGTCGGAGAACAAACCCATGGATACGGATGCCAGATGTTTTTATTCATAATTTTATTCATGGTGGCTGGTGACCGATTCTTACTTCCGCAAAGTGCGTTGCCTTTATCAAATCTAGCAAGGATTTATACTTTGTTTCAAATTCATGATGCGCTTCCTGGAATATTTCTAGTTATTCACAGAGCCTAAATCACGCTGTCCGTGTCTGACACCCTGCTCGTAATTCATATAATTCAGCGCAGAGCGGCGCTCCGCACCGAGCGCAGCACAGCGGTCTCATTTGGTGCCGGTCTCCGCTCGCTCCACCCCGGGTTTGGAGTAATTCGTTACCACATGATCAGCAGCCACACTGTCCTCATCGTCCGCACCGAATCATTTCGTCCGCTCTGGTCCGCTCTAGTCCGCACTTGGTCCGCACTGGTCTGATCTGGTCCGCATTGGTCCTCTCTGGTCTGTACTAGTGCTCACTGGCCCTTGTCCGCTCTGGTCCGCAGTCCGCACTGGTATGATCTGGTCCGCACTGGCCTACACAAAGGACCACACTGCATGGTCAAACGCGGTCGACGGGAATAGAGATAGACAGTGCATGGAGGCGAATGTTTGGCTGGCCTATTTGCATTTTCATCCAACAGCTTCCTTATTACGTAAGGCTACTTGTTTCAAAGTTCTCAGTCTCGGTTTTTCTTGGAAACGTCATTAAGCATTTTACAGAGACGATAAGGTTCTGCAAGTGTAGCAAAATCAGATGTCTATCAATCAGAGTCACCAGTACCTTGTGGAACTCAATTTCAGAAGCCCATTGAGACGACTTGCTGGCGACAGCCAATTAAGACGGGATAAATTACGACCAACGCCGGTAATTAATGTCATATGTATTTCTGTCCACTAATTAATGTAAGTAAATGTTGCGCAACTCGTTGCGGCGTTTCCTGCTCTTCGATCGGTGCTCTGAGTGCGGCTTTTACGGTGGTTACGCACGGTGCAGCGGCGCGTACGGTGGCTGGCTTTTATGCCAATGAAAATGTCAGACTGATGCATAATGCATAAAATGGAGATGAAGTGGTCATCCCACTCGGACACAGAACAGTGCCCTCGTTCGACCTCACTCATTTGATCACAGCGCCCAGCCCTCTCGGTCTCCTAAGGGTGTGTAACGGAAAGGTTGATGTCTTACGCCTTTGCAAAATGTCTACGACTTCCAGCGCGTTAGATTAGCGGATGGTATATCTTTGCCGCCAGGCTTGGCTTACAGCTCCTCAGACTCAATGTGGAAATCATGTCATTATGTTGCATTTACCGCGGCGCCAGCCGGTAATTGTGCTGGGATCTCCGATACGGCTTCAGCTGTCTTCAGGGAAGCGGCGCGGTCCCAGCTGGACCGGGAGACGACAGTCCACGGGGAATCCGGCAAACAGCGGTGTGCACTTCACGTCGCTCTACGTTGACCCATCTGATGGCGTGTTAACAAGGATTTATATATATCGCGCGCTACTTACAAATAATAAATAATATATTTATCTGCCGGGGCCCATTCATTTGCACGTGACAAATATTGGCACTAAGAGCTACGGGATTTTGCAAGTAGGCGAAAGATGGCTAGATATTATATAATGATTGCACAGCTGTAGTATCGCATTGCGCAGTGCGTAGGACCTTATTCTTGCTGTATACGATCAAAACCGATATAAAAAACAGATGCAATCAGAAAAAATGGGACAGGGACTAAGATGGTCACCACCACCTAGCCTTATCCGACTCCCACTATGGCTGCCATCATAGCCTCTATCTGATTCCAGCATAGCCGCTGCCATCATAGCCTCTATCCGACTCCCACGCCTTCTCCACGCCTCCAGAGTGGATAGTGTGAGCTGATGACCCAAACTTTGGCGCCAGCGTTTTACGTGTTCCAACTTTAGCGCTTCGGGCGCCGACCCCGGGCTCACCTAGCCTCTTTTCAGTGACGTCATTGGTAGATTTCTTCGCCATCTGCTAGAATTGTTAGCTTAAGCTGATAATGACACGGGGTTTTGGTCAGCATGGATCAATATATAGTGTGTCTTGGATACATTCAAGCTAGTGAGCTACGTGCACATAATCTGTGGGTTCTGTCATTGTCTTGAATAACATATTTTGATGAGTGGTTGGCTAAATTTACCATTCAAAATGTGTATTAAATGTTCAAATGAATTCCATCTTTAAATAAGGGCTTTTTCAGTTGTTTTCCTTTTTTGCTGTAATAACATCAGCTGGTTGATTGTCTTGAATCATTTTGTTGAAAAGACCTCCAAAATTAAAGAAGATTGCAATCTCCTTTTGGTATCCTTCGCAGAGAGATTTCACCTACCTCGGAGACAAAGGTTCGTTTCTGGGATTGCTGTTTAGCATTCGGCACACCTCGTGACACATCTCCCACCCGGGGTGCTCGTTGGTCTTGGCTCCGACTGGCCGGCTCGCCATATCTTACCGGCCGACCTCCAAACACTCGGTCTCCACTCGGAACACTCATCACGGGCTCTTGTCAGCGGGACGATTACGACCATCCAGCATTTCAGCGGTAACTGAGGGCGCGGCGGCTGCGGCCGCGCCCCGCCCAGTCCGGTACTCAGAAACCGGTCGTGTTTGTTTCAGATCCGCCGCAGCGCGTGGAAATACTGAACTCGAAGAGTCTGGTACTGGAGGCTGGCCGTGCAGTGAACCTGACCTGTCAGGTCACCGGGTCGCGACCTCCTCCAGTCATCACCTGGTTCAAGAACGGAGAGTCTCTTCCTGGCGGCACGCCGGTAAGTGTACTGTGCGAGACGCTGGCAGCTTGCAATATGTTGACATGTCGATGTGCTTTGCTGAATTTGCGGATCAGTAACAGTCCTGATAATTACAAACTGGGAAGAACAATAACAGGTTGAGCTTTAACACCGAATATAACTTCTTCTTGTCTTTTAGGGAATGGTGGTCTTTTTTTGACGCTGCGATAGGTATGCTTTGATAACTTTGATTCTCGTTTTATTCTATAAATGCTACAATAAAAAACTTATTGCAGATACATTCGCAATGACGTCGACGCCACATTTCTTCAGCGTTAGTGATATCTCCTCGTTGTTTCTCCGACTGTCTCACGGCTGGAACCGCGGCGCGGCGCGGCGCTTGGCTCGGTCAGCGAACGGTGATGGGTAGGCTGTGCCGCAAAACACAGCTGCACTGCGGCGCAGCCTAGCCAGCCAGGTTCGGCAGCCGCTGATGGCAGGCCTGCGCCGCTGAGAGCGCAGTATGCATCTATTCCCGATCTGTGATCACAGTCAGTGACCTTGTTTCACACCTGTGACTGTCTGAAGAACGGCATCGCCTCTTTGCATTTGATCACAGGCAACGAGCCGAGAAATGTCCGAGTCCATTCACAGTCAATAGGATGGAAAACAGGCTGCTGTTATTTACGCTCAGTTGGTTGTATCAGTGCCGTTCAGCTGGCGCCAACACAACAGCTATGGTTGTTTGTCCCTGAGACAAACTGGTAACGCTGCTTGGTCTCAGGTATGATCTCAGATATGTATCATAGGATCGCAACGCTGTCCCACTTTCCCTTTTAAAACCATGACAACCTGATGTAAAATTTATTGAATGGTATGAAGCATCACATGTCCAACAATGCATAATTCAGGCAGTGCGTATAAAAGAAAGAAAGGAAAAGTAATTCAACTGGTGTAGTGCCTGGCTATCTTCAGAGATCTTGAACCCAGCTATGTACTTTTCATTTTATGAAGCAGTGAGACGATAAGGTATTTTTTTGTGAAGGACTGCAGAGCAAAAGTTGTTACGCGCACTGCACCTTATTTCGCGGTTAGCTCTTGCCCTTACCCATTTTAATTTCTTCTACATATTAACTTCATACATATGGGTTCGGGCTTATGAGTATCGATTTCTGACACTAAACTGTATCACTAATGAGGTCTTTCCTGAACTTGTTCTTTGATGAAGCAGCGGCACCCTCCAATCTCAGGGTCTGCATTTAAAGCTAGTGGCGAGCCCAGTCGGAAAATCGACGTTATTCCATTTGTAATTCAGAAGCAGGCTGTTTAATATCTCGAAGGCGCCCTCCGATGTACCAGTCACGTTCCTTAGAAATGACGGGAGGCCTCCCGGTGTCATACAATATAGAACCCCTCCTTACTCGGCGGAGAGGGCCGGGCGAAAAAGTCCGTGTTTCATCAGACGTTCGAATGGTCTGTTCGGTATTGAGCCAGCCTTGAACCACTCTTGATTGAGGGTGGAAGTGCGTTAGATGAGTTTTTAACGGGCACATGGGATGATGCAGATGAATGGTTCATTTTAACCCAGCCGAGAAACACTCACCTGATAGCGGCCTGGCGGGGTCAACTGGGGGCCGCTGGTGTTTGATCTGTGTCAGGCTACTGGAGTACCATGTGCCCAAATACAGGCCACTCAGCTTACCTACAGCGACTAAATCCTGGCGTGTTTCATATTTCAATTTTAGAAATAAAACATATCGTCTCGAGAATTCTTACAATTACTCTTCATTCAAAGATCAGCGTCACCTTTTCAGGGATATGTCATTTTTCAAGCTAAATGCAAGTTTCCATTTGCAATTGCGGCAAAATAACAAAATGTCTGACTCTGAACACGCTTTGGTTCTAATAAGGCTTCACTTTTCGGGCTGTTCCGTTTTCAGTGGACCAGTTCTAATAACGTGACGTCATCAACTGTGGAGCTGGTGACGTCAGCAGGTGACGCCGGTCACGTGATCAGGTGCCGAGCGTACAGCCCGGCTGACCCGTCCTCAGCACTCGAGGACCAACTGGCGCTCAGGGTAAACCGTGAGTACGCAACGCTCCATCCTTTTAGTCTTCATGTCCTCCAATGTATCCTAATATCCTATCCATAGTACATTTCTCCTGTTATCACATTCTACTGTCCCTTCTTGCTTCCATCTTCGCTGGTTCTATGTCATGCTAAATTGAGAGGTCTTCCCTTGATCTCTCTTTTGGCATTTCCCTCATGTCCTTCATTTCATCACGCAGCAAGAAGTTGTATGATGATAAAAAGCCCGCAGAATGGCAAACACACGATCCAAGTCATATTGATTCTGCATGCAGACGATACATCTGTCGAAGCCTTTTTACTACGATTACACAAAATATGAATCTTGCTGTCCGATTTCAAATATCTGAGCAACTTTCGAAGAAAATTCGCTTCGATTATTGCGGAATACAGTATGACGCTACAAACGGACGTCACTGTAACAGGTGCACTGTTAAATTGAGGCCAATTTAGACCCGATATTTTGGATAGCCTCCTCCTCGCGAGGCCGAGGATATACATATAAGGCCACTAAAAAAGAAGAAATCAGGAACATACAGAACCCCTAATTAGTTATTTTCGTAAATATCTGAGGTGGTACCGTGCACACCAGTGGTTGAGTTGGCATGAAATGGCCCATATTATTATTCATCCTACTCTTCTACCTTACGCTGACCTAAGACGTCTCTATGTTTCTATGTGAACAATTTAAAGCCGTTATCTCTACGTGCTCACATTTGATACTAGGTTAACATCAATCCTCTGAATGGAGAGCTTTGTCAACTGCCACTGAGCTAGGCGAAATGACTGCGGAAATCTGCCGCCCTCATTTCCATCGGATCCGGACACAAAGAGAGTGAGCGATCAGCGTCCGTTGCTACTGACACACTCTCACTTTCAGTCAGCCGGCGTAACAAGGCTGATTACTCAACTTCTGCGAGTCTCTCGCCCGCAGCCGGCTCAGCCGGAACAACTCTGCCCCCACTCTCCCGCGCGGACCCATTACAGACGCGCTAACTAGTCCCGGGTCTTGGGGTTACGTGAGGGTATGCAGATTGGTGCTATGGTAATTTGGATTCGGTTTCACACTGCAAGGGATGCAAGGTTTTATGCCTGGTCCGCTTTCTCACATTTTATCAACGAGAAAATGATTGGGAGGTTGGATTGTGGTCCTTTTGGCTTTTGCTGTTTACTTTCAAAGATTTTGCGATAGCCCCAAATGGCTACGCGAAGTTACTGCGTTGAAACTTGGTCTACTGGTGGCCGTTGATAATTCACTAGGTAATTTATTTACATATGTACATGTGTCTCGATAGGGCTGCACGCGCTGGCGTTGCTTATTCGTCTCGAGAATGACTGGGCCGACGAAGATCAAAACTTCGCACTTGCATGCGCTCACCTCACAGTATTAAGTGAGTTCGTTTATCCCCCTAAAGGCGGATTTTCCTGGTGTCTGCTTTCCCATGCTGCAAATTTCGTTATTTGATCAACATCTTCTGGAAAGTCCGCTGTCGATAGGAATGCTCATGCCAAAAAAAGACTATGAGCAAGACTTCTTTCCACCATTTTTATAATTTTGTATTTCAAAGCAATCTGAGCTAAAAAACCCCACACCCAGCAATCACTTTCCACTTAGATATATGTTAGCAGCCTTGCGTCTTTACGCGTCCCACGCTCTCAAGCTCATTTCAACGGCTAAAAAGTACATTTACTCTCGGACGATGTTTTTTTTTTTGGACGATGTTTTGGACGATGTTTGGACGATGTTTTCTCGGACGCGCCGCCTGGGCCTGCGAAAGTGTCGTGGCCGTTAGGCGTGAAACTAGCATTATGGCGACCAAGATTGAAAACAACAGCCAAGAATCTGTCGTTCCTTGCTTCGTGCCTGGCCGCTCATGCTGCATACGCAGCAACGGTATCTCTAACCAGGCGTGTCGCTGAGATATTTGCCTTATTGGTCCAGCGGTAAACAGAGTGAAGAATAGGATCGCAACAAATGACGAAATTAGATATTGAATTATATCCGATTTAACCCTCGCCGGCCGAGGGGGGGGGGGCGGGTGCCGCCCCCCCCATAGGGTTTTTTCGCGATAGCTCCGAACACGCTGGCGATAGAGAGCTGAAACTTGGCATACCTGACCTTTGATCCAAGCCGCATCTTTTGACACCAACCGCATTTTTGGGTCAGGTCAGGTCACTGACCTATGACGTCATAAGTGAACCTCTGCACGGTCTTCAGATGTCGCAACTTCGCAACGCCCTCACTGCTAGAGGAGATGGCACAGGGAAATGAAACTTGCAGGATCTAGTATCCATTATGAGTCTCACAACTTGTATATCTCGGATTTTTCCTAGAGGTCATATGAGGTCAGGTCATTTTCGTGACCTCACCATTATAAGTCAATGGGGAAAAATTCAAACTGCTATTCTGGCGCCGGGAACGACCTCCAAGTATCTCAAGAACACAGAATCGTGGTTTGATGCACTCCTTGCAAGGTTAGATTCGTCACTTTTGCAATGTTGACCTTCCGTGACGTCATTTATGACGTCATCAAGGTCATATTAGTTTTTCGTCAATAACTCCCGATCAAATTGAGCTAGCGAGTCGGGAAAGCCACCAATGGACTCAGGAAGGCCTGCCGAATCGAATGATATGCGACATGACCTCTTTCGACCAACTTCGTGACCTGGGGGTGCTGACCTGACCTTGACCTGAGGTCAACACCCCAAGTTGACCTGACCCGGACAAAAAGTATATCATTCGACGCGCCTGATCAAGGCGAACACGATGCTGCCAAAATCGCGGCTCTGCGGCCGTTTTTTGCGAAGTTATTCACCAAAAACTGAACCGTACCCTGGGGCACTTGACCTGACCTCAGAGGTCACCGGTTGACCTAGGACCTTAAAATCGGGTACCAATCTCTGCGTCTCGTAACGGCGCACACGCTCGTTTTTTCCGCGACGCGCTAGCTCCACCAGGGGCGAAACGGCGAGGGGGGGGTCGTACCCGCCCCCCCCCCCCTCGGCCGGCGCGTATGTAGAAAACCAATAGGTCCGGCGAGGGTTAAAGGATCTTTTGCGACAGGAGTTCTTATCAAAGATGTTAGCTATTTTTCATTTTAAAACACTTTAAAACACTCCTGTAAGCCCTGTTCAAAGCTCTCTGTGCCAGATTCAGCTCTGTGCTATCAAACACTATCCCCACTGTGTGTTTGATCTGTGTGTTTGAGCCGCGGGGTATCGGTCCCGTTACAGACGCGCCGCTGGTTCGTGTTTCGGTGGCCAGCAGTCTGCGGCTGGCCGACATCCAAGAGGGCGATGACGTCTATTTCGAGTGTGACGTCACCGCCTCGCCTCCGGCGCACTCGGTCCAGTGGAGGCTGAATGTGAGTTTCCGCCGCCGCCGGCGTCCCGCACCGCCGGGGGGAGGGGGGGGGGGGGTGGAACACTGTGCTGCAAACACCGAGATTGAATCACTGGCTCTGCAACATCGGGGATCGAACGGGAGACTTGTTTTCGATGCACCGTGGTGTTGAAGAATAATTTATTCACTTAACCTGCATTGATCGGTGTACGCATTACCATAATAGGGGATGAGATTCTGCCTGCTTTGGTAGCATCCAACAACCAGATCTGGCCACTTTCTATGGATATTGTTTGTTTCTCAATCAGTTAAATGTACAACAAATTCTTTGTGAATTGGATTGCTTGTCTCGACACTCGTACAGCCAACAATGGAATTCCAGGAAGTTATATGCTTTTCATCTTCGATAGACAGCAGCACTGGTTTTAATAATGATCGAATCGAACGTATCTGTGCCGCTCTGTGCCGGAGCTTGTTATTTGTTTCTACATATCCGAGTCCCCGGTTTCAATTTAATTTGGCTGAAGGGTTCTGTTTTTCGGGATTGAGTATCCTGTCTGGTCGAAGTTCAGGCCTCGTGGCTTTGAGTATATCATTTCTCGGTTGAAATTACATCGTGTTTGCTAGACCAGCCAGCCACTGAAACGCCTGCTGGGAGATAGACCCTGCAGATGTGTTCCCTCTCGATAAATGGTCAATGCGGTGGCGCCGGTGACACTGTTTCTTTGTGGTGCGTGGTCACAGGGCCGTCCTCTGGTGCCCGACTCGCTGCCCGCTGGTGTGATGGTGGTGAATCGAAGTCTGGTGCTACAGAAAGTGACCAGTGACGGCAGTGGCAGCTACTCCTGCGCCGCCTCCAACGCAGAGGGAGACGGTGTCAGCGACTCCGTCAGCCTGCTCGTCCGCTGTAAGTCACTCTGTAAACTGCACGTGCATTGTAAGTCAGCCTGCTCGTCCGCTGTAAGTCACTCTGTAAACTGCACGTGCATTGTAAGTCAGCCTGCACGTCCACTGAAAGTCAGTTTGCACGTCCGCTGTAAGTCACTCTGTAAACTGCACGTGCATTGTAAGTCAGCCTGCTCGTGCGCTGTAAGTCAGTCTGCATGTGCGCTGTAAGTCAATCAGCACGTCCACTGTCAGTCTGCACGTGCGCTGTAAGTCAGTCTGAATGACTGCTGTAAGTCAGCCTGAATGACCGCTGTAAGTCAGTCTGTATGTCCGTTGTATATAATGTTGTCCGACTCTGCGACACCAATGATTGCAAAAATCCCTTCCCAATTAAGCCAGCCAGCACGTTCGTTGTAAGTCAGCCTGCACGTTTGTTGTAAGTCAGCCTGCTCGCGCTGTAAGTTAGTTTGCACTCCGCTGAAACTCAACATGCACGTGCGCCGTAAGTCTGCACGTGTACTGGTAAGTCAGCCTGCAAGTCAGCCTTAACCGGAACGGGCGGCCAGTGACTTGACGGGGGCACAGCACAGTTGTCTCGGATTAAAGGCTTACACAGAAATCCTTTCATATCGGCGGCAAGTATAAACAATATAAAAGTTGGAAAAGATGTCAATGAAATGTGAGAGGCGATTGATCAGGAATGCTGTGATGTATGGCGTGGGCAATTGCTTGCATGATGGAAATGCGTTAATTGAGTCATTTAATTTTATTGCTTGTCGTTTTGTAGAGCAAATATGTTAATATTCCATCATATTGGCAAATGGACACTGTCACCACATATCGAATTTTTAATTCAGAGCCCTACCGGAGCTGACCAATTGCAGCTGTATCAGACTGCCGGAATGTAAAGGAACCAGTGTTTGTAGCAGACTTCTGACAGCCAGCTGCTAGAGGACAGAGGCAATATCGCCAATTTACGAAATTACCCCGTGCCTTTGACCGTTGAAATTACGGCCGTAAAAATGGTCGCTGTTCTTTGTGTGGCATCTTTGATTATGTCTATTGTTCATTATAAATCGAATAAACTGCCCGCTATCACGGCAATAAACTGGACTATAACGGAAAGTCGGCTTCGGTGGAAGCGAGGCGGCGGGAAATATGGTCTCAAAGTGGACACAGAGCAGCCATTTCTGTCCACTTCGATCACGGCGCTTATGTCTAGCTTTGCTGTTACAGACAGCACGCCATGCTAACCGTCGTGTTATCGAAAACGGTGACATGTCGACCTCAGTGTCATATCATACAGGGTTCTAAGCCTTCAGTGCCATACCCGCTACCGTGTAACGCCTTATCGAAGATTCAACCGTATAATAGGGACACTGTTAATGTCAACTGTGTCATGTCATGCTGCGTTGTCCCGCGACGTGCCATAACTCCCTACAATATCCTATCGTTTCTATCCGTGCCGTGCCGTACCGTGCCAGTGTGTGCCTTTAGGTGTCTTGATCCGACGGGCCAGCGCGGCGGATCGATCGTTCGTGTCTGTCCAGCCGGTACAAATTGGACCATTTCTCCATAGCGGAGGTGTGGCGCGCGAGCGGCTCGCCTGAAGCAGGGAGCAGGTGTGAGACGGCCCCTGAACGGCGTCTCCGCTTACTCTCCGACCCACCGACAATCTGTCACTTTGTCAGGCGTGGGTTCAGCTAATGTTGTTCTGTCATTCTGTTACACGTTCTTAAAATTTACTTTTTGCTTAGTTAGTCATTAGCAGTTGTGCTACAAAAATCACCATAATTTGTATTTTTGCGGATGACGTTCGCTGCCTCATTATCGAGTCACTAGACTGAATACTAATTATTTCGATATTTCTGCCATGGCGAGCTCAGTGCAACAGAACGTAGTGGAATGACAAGATTAAAGGACTCTCTTCCTCATCCATGCCCGCCCTCGGGAGTTTGCCGCCGAACGGTATCATATCCTCTGGTGCAGCTGAATGCTTCATGGGCAATGTAATATTTAATCCAAGTGTACAATGTAATATTCAACAGAAAGCAGACATGTGCGCGCTGCGCATTTAGGCCGCAGTCCTATACAACGCACTTGTCCGTGACTGCTCACTCAACAGAATAAAAATGCCTCTGCCAAAATTGTTCAGCCACCCTGCGGGCAAATGAATAGCTTTCACCAGTCGTGCTCGCACATATCGCGCGGCGGGGCAGAGGCTACCCAATATTCCTGTCACATTCACTTTGAGGCCAGCCTGCAATACTGTCATGAGTGACAGTTCTCGGAGGCTCGCAGCAGCTCTTATGAAGAAAGTTCCGCGCGTGAGAGGCGAGGAGTCGGCATATTTGAGCCGACCTTGTTCATCTTTAACATCTGGAATTTGATTGAGCTGCTTCGCCAGTCTGGAGAAGATATCGAGGTACCTAGACCTATTGACCTCTGCTCTGAAGACATGCGTCATGTTCGGTCTCCTCAGTTGTCGGTAGACATCATTTCAGATTATGCGTTTGATCAAACCACTAAAAGTTACATTAGCAGAATGGATGTTCGTGTCTGATGCGCTGATGAAATCAACTTTCCAATGTTGTTATGGTTCTCGTTTTATGCTTCTAATGCAATAAGTTATAAGCGAATATAATTGGATACTTAGAATCAAGCCAGTAGTGTCTAAAAAATTATGGTCCTCACACCTGGCCTGTGCTCATTAATTGCTTTGAACCGGCTGCTTGATGCCTAAGAGCTCTGGCTCTCGTTACCCGACCTGCGCTCGATATAGGCCAGTTACAGCGTTTTTCCTCTCATTCCCGGATAGAGTTAGCGCCACCACCAGATGAAATCCATTTGTAGCTGTCTCAGTGCGAGCCTGCGCCATATTTTGCCGACGCTGCGCCAGATGTGAACTGCGCCGCAAATGCCGTCGTAGGCAGCACGGCCGAGAGCCATATCACAAGCCGCTGTCTGAACTCTGATTTCATCAAAACAGGACTGCCGATCTTGGCGAGCTCGAATAGCATTGCGGCACTGTTTGTCACTGTGTTGTGCGCAGGCGTCGCGTAGTTTGGATCATCCATAAGGTGCTGTGTAAACATCATTTATTAATTAACTGGGAAGGGATTTCAGATAAGAATTAATCATCATACGTGGATATCGAATGATGCGACATTAGAGATGGCAGTGAAATGGCAGACCAGTGCTGATCAAAACCTAGCGTGACATAAACTTAACACAACTCCAATCTAGGCCTTCCAATAGACGAGAGCAAATCGCACTCCTGCCTCCGGAAAGTCAATATTGGCTGAAGCTGCAAAACCCTCAGTGGATAAGGATGAAAAACTTTGGCTGAGCGGAAGCTCGAGCGTAATTTACATCCGCGAATTCTGAGCAGCTTTATCCGAGCAGCACAAGAGATCAGTCGAGACTGTGGGCAGAAGAGTGGCGCTTTTCGCTTTATTCTGGGCTCATGAGGTAGTCCCAGCCATCACCAAGTGAGCTGGCACAAAGGGCAGGAGCGGCGGAAATGGAAGCCCGCTTTAGAGCGGTATAAAAGTGGATTTATGAGGGGGCGGCATGGAAGATGACAATGAAAGAACAAGTAAGGGCTGGCGCGCATAGTAAATGGACTGATACCTAGCTTTGATGGCGGCATTGCGGAGACGAATTTAGCACCATAATTCAGATCCTCTCGAAATTTTGGCTAACCACATTATATTTATGCTGAATTGTGTGTCTTCTCTGAAGTAGCTTGAATCATATTTTATGCTTGTCTTGCCTTTTATCTTATATCATGATTTCGAAAAGCTGGATGAAGACAGATGGCAGATGACAGTTCTAGAAAATATACTCTTGATTATTTCGTGCATGTGCCATTCGTTATGTCCAGGTTCTGTTACCAACAGATATCTGTGCTACATAATGTCAAAACTGACAAGCTATAGATATGAGCGGTGCCATCATTTAAATGAAGATACGGTGGGTGGATGTTTTGCATTAGGGCTATTTTCTTCCTCCCCATATTGCGTGATTCAATGTCAATGGGCCAAGGAGGTGCTTGGGTACATCGATTGTTGTTAGTGAAATAAGTTTCGATGAGAAGATGATTCACAATGACATCCCACGACCTAAATCACTATTTGACGTGCATCTGTAAATCCGCTGTTCCTTGTCCAAATACTCTGTAAGCCCGCATAGGATCGGAGTCTATTTAGTTGAAAGCTGACGGGGGCGGTGCAGCGTGGGCGGATCGCCGTTCAATCACTAAGCAGGCGGGCACGGTGCGATATCCAGCTCGGGTCTGTCGGCGCTGTTGCGAGGAGCCCGCATGGTGTCTGGTGCTCCGGACATCCGGGGGCGGCCAGACTCCAGGACCCAGGGGGAGGGGGAGGGGGGCTCGGAGCATGGGACCGTGTCACAGCAGAACGCCCACGGATCATAGTCTGTAGCCAGCACCGCCCACGGACCATGGCAAACGCCAGCTGCCCAGTGCTCACGGACCCGGAGACGAGCCCATCACGGACACCCACGGAACCAGCAGCAATCCTCAGGCGCCCAGGGAACACAGCCAATCCCGTGAGTCATCATAGCATCCCACCAAACCCCAGACACCCATAGGATCACAGCTAAAACAGTCACCCATTGGATCACTCATCACAGCTCTGTCCACAAACCCGGAGCAGCTCGCACACACCCACATGCTCCCAGCAATCCTCAGCCTCCCAGCCCGCCCCAGCGGCCTGCCTCTGACCGTTGGTAATCAGGCGCCGGTCTCCCCCTATACTCTGGTCCCACTGCGCCGGTCATCGGTCAACCCGTGAGTGTTGACCGGTCGCTAGCAGCCCCGCCCAGTCTGGCGACCGGCCCGGGAATGGGGTAGGTAGGGTCTGGGGTCGGCCCGTCGAGCATTCTCCAGCGGAGAAGCTGGACCAGAGCTGAGGCATATGAGGACAAAAACGTGCTGCCTGTTTATCCGGGGCTTTGGACGCGTCAACTGCAATGGTCATTTACCAGCTAGTTATCGTTGAGGTGAAAGAGGAAACAGTGCCCGACCCATGGATTTACACGTTTACTTTAATTATTATTAGATTAAATCATGAACAATTCCTGAACTTCCTGAGTAGCCTGAGCCTGAACTCTGTGAACTAGCATCACATATCATGGTTAGGAGTTTGGACGGAGCCTAGAGTATGTGGGAAACTTTACCTGAGTACTTAATTGCTAGATCCACTCCAACACCAGTGGAACTGATAATCCCCTCGACCTCCCGAGACGAAATTTTAGCACATTTCCTACCAGCACTTGTATTTAATGTCATGCCTACAGATGCTTTCACTGCTTTAGATACAAACTATCCTATCTTCATCAGTTCATTTTTCAATGTCGTATGAATGCTGGCGTGATAACAAACGTAACAGTTTGTCAACACTGTGGTGATACAGCTGCGTTCGTAAGTATCATACACCGTCCAACTCGCTTTTGAACACGACTCAGCGATCCGCTGTCTCTGTCTGTCTATCTGTCTGTCCGTCTGTCCGTCTGTATCTGTCTGTCTGTCTGTCTGTCTGTCTGTCTGTCTGTCTGTCTGTCTGTCTGTTGGTATGTTTGTCCGTGAGTCCGTCCCTCTGCACTTACGTCCGTCCGTCCATCTATCTGTGTCTCTGACGTGCTGTTACAGACGCTCCTCGCTGCAGCATCCGTTAGCAGGTGGTAAAGGTGCCTTGTGTGTTTCTGCGTTACTGTCTGTCCGTCTATCTGTGTGTTGACACTCGCCCGTACCCACCATTCCAGACGTTCCACGCTGCAGTGTCCGCCAGCAGACGGTCTACAGCGCCGCTCTCCATCAGACAGTGAAGGTGCCGTGCAGGGTGGACGCCCTTCCCGACCAGCTGACCTTCCACTGGTCCTTCAACAACACCGGCGACATCGTCCACCTGCCCACGCACCAGTTCACGTCAGTATACCGTCAGTAGCGTCAGTAGGTATGCTGATAGTCAGTCAGTACCATCAATCAGTCACCGTCAGTAACGTAAGTATATCGTCGTCAATATCGTCAAGTATCTTCAGTGCTTGTTTAAGATAGGCTGTTTCCAATTGAAAACAAAACTCTGACGAAATTTTACCGTCAGTAGGTATCGTTTGTGGTCAGTATCACTGTAAGCATCACTACGCTGGAACATCGGCTCACGTCGGTACTATTGTACCGTCATACATCAGTTACCTTCTCTGCCTGTTGGGCAGCTGGAGGAGGCTGCCGGCGTCTGTCATAACCCTGTAACTCGGCTGTCAAAACCGGCCGATGGCCTGTCCATTATGACAGGTTGAGTAGCACCGCCGGTGAGCCGATTCAAAATGAGACGGGTGGCACAGAGAATTGAAAAGCGAGTCGTTACAGGCAGTTCCAGCAGAATCTTGGAGTTCGTTCGGAAAACGATTTCATACATCTCTTGTGCATACTGCTGACCACGGTGCATAAGAGATCGTGCATTTTTATCTTGTGCGAAAAGAAGCAGAAAGATTCAGTTGCTTCGATATATGCACAATACCTTGTAAGCGAAATATGCCACTACGTTACGTAAGTCAAGACGACATTCATGCTCTGTTAGCATCCATTTTCATGCAATTCTATCTGTCTGCCGTTGGCCCGCTGTCTAGACAAGCTCAAAATCGGCTTTTGTTCGGAAACGCTGGCAACTTGATACTGACGTATCTCCTGTCTGAATGAGGCGGGGACCTGAACCGTGTCTGAGACTTGGGAACTACGTGTAACGACCTCCGGACCGGGTGAAGCAAGCTTCTGAGTATAGGCCCTGCCTTAAACTGTGAACTGATGCCAGCTGACCAACTGGGACAGGGCTCTAATGGAAATGATTCGCAGAAGCGTTACATAACTAGGTTCAACGTTGAATGACAGTCCCTTGTCTTGTTCATGATAGAATTGGCCGTCTTTTCTGCTTTGATAGTGATGTCATATTGTTCCTGTTTAGCGATACGACCGGAATGTGCTATGATAGGTGATAAATGACTCGGCCGTGCATTGTCATGGTTTCAAAGTCGATGTTTTACCGGGCATTGGCGTCATCGTAAATTGACGTTGATATCTTACGCTTTTGTGGGCGTCACACTATGCTAAAGGCGGCACTTTTTCTCTCGAACGATAACGTGATAAAGCAAGCATCACTTCGACCTCGAAAATGCTTTGTTACATATGATCATTTCGTTCATTCTTGACTTGGCCCAGCACTCTGTTCCCCACCCTGCCTTGTACCAACCTTGCTCATGCGAGTCCTGACCCGTGTTTTGAAGTGAGCTGACTCGATCTGACCTGACCTGACCTGACCTGACCTCAGGGTGAACGGCTCAGGGAGTACGGCCATCTACACGGCCCATTCGGCGCTGGACTACGGCACTCTGCTGTGTTGGGCGCAGAACGACGTCGGTCTGCAGAGGGAGCCCTGTCTGTTCCACATCACACCGGCCGGTGAGTGACGTCACGCATAGATACATTGAGTGACGTCACACCGAGGGACAGTTAGTGACGTCACTTAGAGAGGCGGTGTGTGATGTCTCACTCATACTGTGGGTACCGTCGTGAAAGATGTCTTGAACTGTGCTGAACTAACTATATTTGAGCTAAATTGAGCCGATTTTAGCCGCTACCCACCGACGCTGATCTGATCTGACCTGCTCCCCTCCCGGTCCCCTCTGCAGCGGTGCCGGAGTCGCCGTCCTCCTGCACGTCCCACAACGGCACGGACGGCTCCGTGGCCGTGCTGTGCCGTGCTCCGGCCGCGGACGTGCTACCCCGTCGGTACGTGCTGGAGGTGCGCGGCCCGGCCGGTGAGCTGCTGCTCAACCTCAGCGCCGGCACGCCGCGCTTCCTGGTGCCGGCACACCTCAGCAGCAGCTACCATCAGGTCGGTGAACTGACCCGGGGAAGGGTGGGTGCAGGTTACCTGCGATGGGTTTGGTGCGTAAATTGAATTAAAATCTTTTCAATGTGTTGAAAGTAAAATGTGATTATTTGGCTGGCAGCGTGGTTAAAAGGTCAATGTAACATCAAAACAGTATGATCATTTGCTCTTATTCATCATCGGAATATTCCCTAATTATGTGTGTTTGTTTTTTAGATTATTCTTTTCGCCGAGAACGCTAAGGGCCGCAGTAAGCCTCTGGTGATCGATACGCACCCGGCCCGAGACGCCGTGGAGCGCCGCACAGAGCGTATCATCGACGGCTCGCTCAAGGCCAACGCGCCTGGAGGTGAGCCGCCGCAAACGCCGCACCGAATACCGCCGGGAGTGCCGCTGTATTTACTGTTAGCAGCAAACCAATCAGCAGCCGAGGCACTTGGGGCAGTTTCGATATCAGATAGTGGTTAAACGAGGCTCAGTAGATGGTGCTGTTGACGGGGAGGGGCATTGCAGCCGGTATCGAATTTCCGGGGGTTGAATGACGTATTGCTAAGCTAACTTGTTCGTTGATTTGCATCAACTAGGTTAATCAAACTCCAGATAATCTGTTTGATCCTCGCCGAAGTTGTGATTACATTTGATATTTGTTTGCCGCTCTACTCGTTATCAGCGAAACGTGTTCCTATGCTCAGAGAGTCATTGGTATGTTGGTTACCGTGCTGCGTTTGCTCTGTGGATGGCACTTCAGCTGATTGAACTATGTCGCTGTCTGTGGCGACGCGCTGGCCGCCGGACTTTACCCCTCATTGGATGCCCTGTCCTGTCATGCTCTAACTGATTCAAAGTTTGGCCACAGGTGACTTACTTTTGTCTCTTCTTCATCTTCTCTTTTGCCATCTCTTTCTATTCACTCATGTTTTATGCTCTTTATATTTACAGTCCATCTCTATTTTAGCCGTTATTCTCCCAGACCACCCCTGTTCCCTCCCCGCCCCGACCTTTTTCCTCAGGCCCACTGTTTTTATCCTAGCCCGCCGTTTCTCCCCTGACCGTCTGCCGCTGTCGCCGCAGCCGCCGCCGACTCGGAGCCGCCGACCGTGGTGCCGTCGCTGACCCTGCTACTGGTGGCGGCTGGCGCCGGCGCCCTGCTGGTCACCCTGCCCGTGCTGGCCGTGGTGCTGCTGCGCCGCCGCCGCCGCCGCCGCCCAGCGGGCCGACCAGCACCCCCGGCCCCCACCAGCCCGGGCCCAGCGCCGGCAACCAGCGCTGGCCGGCCGGGCCGCCCGCCACCGGCCGCCCACCAGCCGTATTACGGTGAGCAGAGAGAGGTGTGGCAGAGGCCACCGGGCGTGATAAATGATTCACAGAGAAGTACGGCGCAAATGACGCTCGTTGTGTCAGGATATTGCTACTGAGAAAGTCTCATCAGTATTCTGTAAATAGCAACGTCTCGTCACATTGCTGTATGCATTCGTCTGGCTGTCAGCGGAAACTAGAGGTGGCAAAATGTGGACCCGGGGACCCGGTCTATGGACCCGGTCTGGACCCGGATGGGTCCAGACCGGGTCCCCCAAAATATTTGGCCGGGTCCAACCGGGTCCTATCATTCCCCTGTACTTTATGGTAAATGTTAATATCTGTTATGCTTTGGCAAACATAGTTGATGCAGTTTCCAGTCCATGAGTCCTAATTCCACTTTTGAATTTTAATATTCCTGCAGATTGGGCTACCTATTCTGTAGCATACTGGTCAGTCTTGCTTCAATTTCTTATCTTGTCACCTACAACAAAATAAACAAGTTTTAAGTGCTGGCAATGCAGAAAAAAATTCACCAAATGTTTGTACGCATCACTTCCATTCAGTTTGCTGTACAGCACCTAACAATATTTTGAGCTGTAGAAATCAAATACCAATGACATATGTAGGTAAGTAGGTATGATTGAAATCCATTTATAAATGGACACAAATCTAATTGAAGCAAGGCTGACCAGTGGCATTCTTACCTGCCTTTTCAAAGACACTGATGTACCAAAGTCAGCTGGTACTATGCCCACCAGAAATTGGAGTTCATGTTTGATATTCAAAAGCATTTCATAACTCAAACAGCCTTGAAATTATTTCTATCACGGCCAGAAGACAACTCATAAACCCAACATGCCCTTGGATAAATCCAGAAAGCTCCAGAAAGCTCAAAATGAATCCAAGGCATTCTCCAGAAACAGTGGTATTGACCAGATTTTTAGCCAACTGGCGCCGCATGATGGCGCTAGCAGAGCGTATTACACGTATAGCGCTCTACTAGCGCCATCATACGGCATCAGATGGCAAATAACTGAGTCAATACCAATGCCCTTCTCCAAGGCCAATGATACCGTGTTGATATGAAAATGGCGCATTTGAGCGTCATATATGCTAAGCCTTACGCACGCTAATCTACTGCAAAAAGGCTACAATTTTGGAACACGTTCGGGAAGAGGACAAAACCTCCACTCTAGCACATACTAAACGCCTAATGACATCTGATACAAAGACCCCAAATACATTAACGAATAGATGTGCATCAGGAACGGATTTTCCTACTAGTTCAGCATTGTGATAGTTTGTAGATTGTTATATGCAGTTACTCTGCTCATGGATCCCAGGTCAAAGACGACAAGACCAAAATCAGGTAAGTCTCAGCACCCTAGGATATTTATTCTATATCTAGGTACTAACAACAAAATGTAGCTTGCTTTCTACGTTAATGAATTGGCACTTAAGTCATGATCGCAACCTTGCAGCACTTTAAAGTTAAAAGCTATTACGACTTTGCAGTACTTTAATCCCAACAGAATTTTGCAGTGATTTAACGCCTGCCTTGTCCTTGAATTGCTATCGGTGTCGACATTTCTGGCGGACCTCACAAAGTTTTGATGTTTCTATTTTTATTTTGAATATTTTCTGGTTTGGGACGTTGGATAGTTGATAATATTTGTAAGGACTAATGTATTTAATTCTAAAGACGAATATCTTTTACCAAGAATATTAGAAAAGGTATGTATCAGTATGTGAGATGCGTATCTTGTTCCATGTTGATGTTAGGTTCTGACTGGTGAAGGCACTGCTCCATGGATCCCCAGTTCACATCATTTTTAGCAGCTGTAGTAAAAGGGGCTTAGGTAAGCATGAAATTCATTGGTCTTCTTACTTCTTATATTCTTAAATATGACCTGAATCTGGTTTTAAATACAAACTGTGAAGCAAAGTAAAATGATCATGGCATGAGTTTTTTACTTTGAAACACAAGTATGCCCAATAGGAAAGAAAATATTTTCTTCTTGCTATACCTACAACTGTATACAATATTCATAATGGATTTAGGGAACGGGTCCATCTGGTTCCAACGCTGACTTAGACCGGGTCTGACCGGTTCCAGAAATTTGCCAGTGAGACCGGGTCCGGGTCCGGTTCCCAAAATTTTCCAGTTTTGCCACCTCTAGCGGAAACAGACGCGGTGATTCGTTTGTTTTATTTCTGTGGAACGTTGGAAAAGTTCATATCAGCTGTGAGGTCTCAGTGCCGCTGATTGGACGTTCAGTGGTAGACTGTGCCGCATGACTTCTGTGTAAGGCGGAACAGCAGCTGGCCGGTACTTCCCTAATTCTGACCTCTACCGTGTAATGTCTAACACAAGAACAGTATGTCTCTGACGTCTTACTTTTAGACAGAACAATTGTTCTGACACTTGGCGATGTGCGGCTCAAGTGCGATGTTATTGAAGCCGTTTCTCAGAATACCGTTTGGTTGATCCATGTTGTTTACAAAGCAAAAGTTGAATTAAAACAGCAGCATGTGGTAATTTAATTCCAGTTTACGGCAAGTGCTGCTAGGCTTCTACTAAGAAACATCTTTTCCATATATCTTCATGCATTGCTACAAACACGATAAAATGGTCATAACAATCCAAGTCACGAAAATTCGAGATGCCATCGGCAGATTCAGTGCCCACTAACCCACCGACCCTTATTCCCGTCGCCCCCAGAGCTGGCCGCCCTGGAGCTGCCTCCGGTGCCGTGTCACGTGATACGCCCTGACCGGTCACGGGAGGTCAGTTATATCCGGTCACCGTGGTCGGCGGTGGGGCCGGCGACGAGCGTGGACGGAGGGGGCAGCTCCACCCTGCCCCGAGTCCGACCCCGGCACAGGCACCAGTGCCAGGTAAGAGGAGTTGAGTGCAGGGTCCGTCACATACCCACCACAGGCACCAGTGTCAGGTGAGAGGAGTTGAGTGGGGTCCGTCATACCCACCACAGGCACCAGTGTCAGGTAAGAGGAGTCGAGTGAGGTCCGTCATACTCACCACAGGCAACAGTGTCAGGTGAGAACGAGGGTAAGATGTTGGCCGGGTCCCGTCAGTCTTGTCAGGTGAGAATAGGATGAAATAAGAGTATGGGTTGAAGACGGTACTGTATGATACAGCTCAGACCAGGGTTGTATACGACTCAATCAATAGCAATCAATTCAATCACGACAAATTTGGGAAACCAATCAAATCAATCAAGTCAGAGCAGTTTTCGGGAATTGATTCAATCGACTCAAACGCGACAATGAAAGGAATCAATCAACTCAATCAAACGACTCAAACCAAGACATACATTAGGTTTTTTTGCCCCACCAACTTGGAAAAGTGTCCATAGCAGTCTGGTGTACCTACCTACCTACCTACCTACCTACAGAAGAAACATAAAAATATTGTCATTTAAAATTATAAATTGCCATGCCATTCAAACTTTCTATGTGATAAGGAAGGATACCGAGTGATGGACTGGTGGATCATGATATTGAGGTTCAATGGGTAGAATTGGAGCAGCAGTGTCATTTATTGGGTGCAAAATGACCCAGTAGTTGACTCGCCCCTTAACCCAAATCACCACCTTTCACCTAAAAGTTGTCAATTTAATTTTGGCCATATTCTAACTCCATTTACACTAAATATCAGATATTGCAGTTGAAAGTTGGCTGCTCGGATTTTGGCAGTGTTCGTGATTTGGCCATTTACCCTACACCATGTCTATTTTAATGGATAATATGCATCAATAACATATTAACCATAGGGAAATAAAAATAAATATCTTACCTGCATCATGCATGTGACGGTTTCGGTTAGACAGAGACTGACGGGCAGCCTGAAAAATCATTCCATACAATGTGCATTTGAGACATGGGATGTTGTCAGATTGGGAAGGAAGAGATTTGAAGTATTTAGCGGTCCACAATTCTGGACGTGGCATGTCAATGTTAGGTACCTATGTGAAGAATTCAAAACATTTTATTGCAATACAATTTGAGACTGTTATAACTGGGGGATAGGGATGAGGATTAAAAATATATTTAAAAGGAAATGGAGAGGACAGGTACTCTGGGAAAACGGCACGGCGCGACTGCGATACAACGAAAACGTTTGGTTTTGCCAATAAGTATGCTAAGCTTTTATAAATCCTTATTCTACTTCTTTTGACTTTGCGGTAAGATGACGTCATTGATTATCATGTAGTATGGTAGATCATCATAAAATAAATCGGTTGTACAGCACCAATTTCGTTTTAATTATTATTTCATTTGAAATAAAGACACTTAATAATATTCGGTAAAATATTTTAAGGAAAATGAAATATATTAAATATGTTATGCTTAGGCTCTCAGGAGAAAAGGATCAACAAACGTTCTGCTGCAAATTACACAATGCAGCAAAGTAGCTATCAATTGTACGTAAACGTAATCAGCGAGACGGAAACGGCGCTTTTGTTTCAGTTATTTTTGTAGGGGTTTCAGATATTTATAGAGTTCAGTGGGTTGTTTCTGAGGAGATGTGGAGATGTGAATTATTAATTAATCACACTTTATTAGTATATAGGGCCTTGCACTTTATCATCTGGATTAAAAAAAAAAACGTTTCCTGCTGAGTGCAGAAAGGAAGGTAGGTGCATCGCCAGGTTCTATCACCAGGATTGGAGCAGTTATTGCAGTTGAAAGTCAACGTTGGCTGTTCATGTTGTTTAGGCCCTGTTCTTTATTTGGCCATCTACCCCATATTGCAGTTGTGATGACAAGCAGTTTTCAGTGTAGTTTTGTGATCTTTGGTGTCATCAATTGGTGTCATTATTTTTCGTCAACTAAAACTTATTTGAACTTTCCATTCAATCGACTCAATCATACGAGTCACTCTAATTTTCGGGAATCAAATCAGTCAACCAGTCGCTAAAGTCAAACGAGTCAGTCAACCAGTCATCTCGAAAAGTCAATCGACTCAATCCAATCAACTCAAAATACGCGTTGAAACAAATCAATCAATTCAATCGACTTGATTGGTATACAACCCTGGCTCAGACACCGTAGTGTTAGGTAAGAAGGGATAAGGGGTAGAATGGAGTCCATAGTCCCGCCACAGGTTCTCGTATGAGGCAAGGAGTGGGTGAGGGCTGGGCCGGCGACCGCCAGCCTTGGCCCAGGCAGCCGTGTTGGAATGATTTTTAACGTTTCGACCAGCTGCTTCTCCGCGGCAGCCGTCATGTTTTTTTTTTGCCTGCTAAATGAACTTGAAGTTTAGTGTGCTAGCGTCGTGCCTTTCGTAAGCCAGCGAGAATTGAAATTAGGGTGACCTTGTAAATAGTCACAGTCTTAATCATTCTGCTATCCAGATAGCCAATTTTGCAGAGCTGGAAACATGGTTTCATTTGTTAACGAATGTTTTTGTTATTTCTATGGAAAGGATCCATATGTATCTGGAAGTCATGTGTTAATGCTTGCTGGATTGTTTGGGCAAATGAGGTCAGCATTATCCCAATAATTATAACTGGAATTCATTAATAAAGCTGACTTCAGTTGATCCGTTCGGCAAATAGGAATTAATATCCGGAGATCGTGGCATCACAATCTATACATAGGTCAATGTCATAGACAATTAACATCGGCCGTTTCCGCTGCACAATTCCATGCAAATCACTAATAACCTCCAACGCCTACTTACCACCTTGGCCACAAATGAGGACATAATTCGCCGTCCAATGCTCCTACGGTCTGGCGGGCACTATGCCATGATATGCGCTAAAATTTACAAATCGCATTTGCAGCTAATCTCTTGAAATTCTGAATCATACGGAAAGGTCTTTTCGTTTGAATAGACGATAATCTGTTTTCTAAGCCCATCGGGCTGGTGACACATTTCGTTCTAATGTTTTGCATTTCCTGGCTGAATAGCATCGCAGAGTCCATCTCAAGCGTAGTTTTATCTTTCCGATGTTTTACTGCGGGAACTTTTTTGAGAGAAATGGCTGGTGCAGTGGGCTGTGACATGACATCTCCGGCGACCAGTGGGTCATCTTTGGGCGGGCAGCATTTGACAGCCTGGTTTGGGGGCTGAGGTCGGGAGTTGACAAACTTGGCTGAAAGAAGTTGGAAGACTTGAGCAACGCGGAGCCACCGAAAGAGTTTTGCTGCGACAGTGACGTTATTGGTCTTTTGTTGCTTTTATATTTGTATGATGCGGACATTGTGACGAGCAGGCGAGTCTATCCCTGGTTTAGATGGAAAATCTTTGAATGAATGGCCCAGCCCGGCATTGAGGCGCTTTTTCATAGCCTTATATCTCGACGCTCGCTTGACCGACGGTCAAGCGGTCTGCGATGAATTTATCTCAAAGTTGGATAAACAAGCAATTTGTGCACAATTCATAGCGTACTCAGACTCAGCGTTTTGTGACGTTTTATCCCTGGCGGCGAATGATATGCGCCGTCACTATCGTCTAGTCATATTCCTGTCCCTAGATGGCAGCAGCGGCTAACCTGAAAGATAGGCTGTGCCGCAACACACAGCGCCTGAGTGGCATACTGTGCCGCAAGACACAGCTGAAGGGTGAAATGCGCGGCTGCTTACACAAAAGCGCGGATCAGGCTGTGATTCTGTTGTTGACTTCTGGTTAGAACAAATCTTTTCAAACCCTTCTTTACAATACTTCAGGAGTAACTGATGCCCTGTCTCTTTGACTGATTTGTGGCTCCGTTTCAGGCGGCCGAGGTACCGGTCGGGTTCGGCGTCCTCACGCTCCCACGGGCGGCCACCTCCGCCGCCCTGGACGGCTCGGAACGGCCGTGTCGGGCGGCAGCCGCCCCCGCCCCCGCCGCAGCGGTCTGCCACTACACCCAGCTGCCGCCGCCGCCGCCGCCGCCCGCCGCCAGGCCGCTCGGCAGCCCGCCGTGGACGCGGCCGCCGGGCGGGGGCGGGGGCGGCGGCGGTCGGCACGGGTCGGTGGGATCTCGGCACGAGGCGCCACCAGAGAGCTCCGTATAACGGCCGGCGCGGACTGAGTGAGAGGAACTTGTGGGGACGCCATCCTCGAATGGGTGTAAGGTGTAAGCGTCACCGGCATACGGGATCCGTCTGGTCGATGCCGTTGGACGTAATGGTCCCCGGCGTGTGCCATATTGTTGTTTTGTTGTGTGTGAGATGATATGTCACATCAGAGCGTTGTATAACTGTTACCTGTGTGTTGGTGTCTGACTGTTATCGGAGCGTTTATGACGAGTGACTGGTTGATGTGAACCTCAGGTTTTCCGAGCCCGGAAAGCGATAGCTTTATTACGACGATGTGTTACTCCGTAGAGCTTGAGATTTTAACGTGACCGTAATCTGCGTTATGCCATGGTGCCATTGCCAAAGAGTCTGCTTTCAAGGAACGTCTTATCTTGTTGATGCGGCAATCTTTTCTAAGGCGTCGAGCTGCTGCAGTCAGTAGCGCCATCTGGCACCATCATACTACGCCTCTGGTGGAGATTTGGTGAACTCTGCTCAAACTAGCTCTGCGAACCAGGAACAATAGTGTACTGAGCCTGATGAACAGCTTTATTATTGTTGTTTTATTGTATTTTTGTCTTACTTGATAGCGTTATCATATAACGTGCTCATTTGCGCAAAACTTCAATCATCCCTCGGTTCATGCTGGGCATGTAACCAAGACATGCCAATGGGTTGTGACCAGTTTTGCTCAGAAAGGGGCCGAAAGAAAAAACCCTTCTCAATCTAGCATTTTGTCTCTTCAATTTCCAAGATTTGCATGATCGATCTCATGTTCTTCGTTTACAAATAGGGATTGCTTAGTTTGGTGAGTTGTATTAGTTCGGAATATATAATTATTAAGTCGTTAGCTGCGCATTCTGAAATGACATGTGATTCCACGTCATGTCTGTACGTTTTCTAAGACACGTCAGCTGTGGTACGTGAAGCCGTAATAAAATAAATCGGTACGCAAGGCGCGCTCCTCGTTCTCATTTGATTATGAGGTATGTAAAAGAAATAACGGGGCTATTTCGAAGGCTTGAAAATAGTTAACCTAACCAGAAACGACAAACGAGATTCGAAGGCTTGTGAGAAGGTTAAGTGAAAGAACATCAGTTCTTTTTTGTTCGCTTAGGACAAAAATGACATCAACAGAGGACGTCGAAGGTCATGAGATTTCTGATAAAGCCCCGACAATAGGTGACAAAACGAATCCCTGTCCACAATTTACGAAGCTAGGAGGGCAAGGAAAAAAACCTGTATGCCATATCAGCTTCTTTCCCGGTGTCAGATTTAACCTCAGGTCAACTGCTTGGTATTCAGTGGTTTTGAAGGGTCAAAATGAATACTTGATATTCTTTCAAAATGACGCATTTTATTGGACAATTTAAATTTCTCGCATTGCAATTTTTCCCTACAGCTGAGAAATGATTTTACCTGCGAGATTTTACAGAAGAGGATCACATTTCTCTTCACCGGGCCTCAACCAAACGTGTCATATTGCAATTGGTCGTTCCGCCGAAGTCGGTTGAGCACATTTATGTTCTTTTCAAGCCCGTGCACACCGCTCTTTTTATGATATCCGAAAAAATTGCGATCATTAGTCCATGCTGCTAGAACGAACTGGCTCTCATGCCTATTCCAAGACTCCTGCCATTTTTTTTTTTCTGGAACTAGTGCACGTACATTTGCCCCGTCCACATAGACACTAACAGGACAGCGTCGGTGCAGTATGACGCCTTCCGTCGTTGACTCTGCGGTGTCGTCGCCTGGGTATCGACTGAACTGGGCAAAGCGACCAGTCGCCGGTGACCTCAGGCCAGGAGCGGATGGCCGCGCCGCCGAAGCAGGTCGCAACGGACACACAGCCGAGGAATTGAGTGGAGCCTTAGCTGTCAACACCCACTCTGTGAGTTATGAATATCCAAGTCTCAGCCACTTTCACGTGTTATTCAGAAGACGTTTTAGCGACTGTTTCATTGCTAATAATGAATCATGGTGTTTTACCTTACGTGCTAACGTGAACTATCATGCATTTGTAGGAAACTGGTAAAGATCGGTCCTATTTAATAATGGGTTTGCGTAAACGTTAGTACGAACTACGAAGTAACTGGACGGCCCGCGTGCCATTCAAATTACTTCGCACTAATATATTATTTTGACCGAAATTGCGTGTTGACAAAATACGGCACATACTATTCAATAAACTGGCAAAATGTAACGAAAGTTCCACTCTTTCATAGTCAAACAAAGATAAAAGCGTATCCTGGTTGTTCTTTTTATGGGGGAATTCCGGGCAACGCGGTTTTCTCGCCAATGACTGCTATGACACGCTAATTAGCTCAGCTTCGGAAAGATCAGGAACGTGCAGAACTGTACAATGCATATGCATTTGATGTCAATTATTGGCCAAAACATCCGACAGAAATGGAGAATAACTATATGAGGTCCATCTGACTGCAGCTCTTCCACAGCTCATCAGTAAATCTCAGCCTGTCATCTGGCCGATCCCGCCATCTCGCAGAACGTTTCGTTCACATCAGCCGTGACATCAAGTCGTTCAGCATGACCATCTACGACAGCACAGTGGGCTTCTTCGCGCAGAGGACGTCAATGCACGGTGTGAAGAGCGCCTATGAGGCGTCCAACAGGCCGTGCCGCTGTCTCTGGGGCGGCATCACACTCTGCATGACGGTGATGGCCTTCAACTATGGTAGGTGCCGCGGTTTGGCTAGTTAGAGTGGTGTGGAAATAGGAGAGTGATATGGAGCATATGTGGGAGAGGAGAGAAGAGAGAGAGAGAGAGAGAGAGAGAGAGAGAGAGAGAGAGAGAGAGAGAGAGAGAGAGAGAGAGAGAGAGAGAGAGAGAGAGAGAGAGAGAGAGAGAGAGAGAGAGAGAGAGAGAGAGAGAGAGAGAGAGAGAGAGAGAGAGAGAGAGAGAGAGAGAGAGAGAGAGAGAGAGAGAGAGAGAGAGAGAGAGAGAGAGAGAGAGAGAGAGAGAGAGAGAGAGAGAGAGAGAAATAAAAAACAAACTACAGAGAAGAATGGATAGGATTTGAGTTTATTCGTACTTATTCCCTGCATAAACTGCTGACTATTTGAAAAGTCGTGGATTGAATAATTGTTTCATGACCGTCGACAACATAACTCAATCAATGCACATATCTTCATTTCCAGGCTGGGGAATTTGTTACAAATATCTGGTGAAACAAGAGTCGATCACACGGCTGTCCTACGTCGACTACGGAGGGCTGGCGTTGCCCGTTCTAACCATCTGCCCCACCAGAAATCCGTTCATTCTTCAACGGCTGCAGGGTATGCTAGTGCAATTAGATGTAAGTGTTGGATGTCATGTTTGCTTTGTGTGTTCCCCTTGGAACGCCTCTGCGGCACCACCGCGCCTGGCGCCTGGCGCCGCCCCTGCCCGACCCGACCTGCCCTGGGGCTAGGGCTGGTCCGTGTGGCGGCTCGCCCGCTGCCTGGAGCGAGAGCCGGCCAGTGCAGTCGCGTTTCTTGCCGTGGATGGAGCAGTGGTCGTGAAACAGTGTTAAATCGACGCGAGTAATGAGTATTTGGGTTAACTAGCATACCTAATCGATAGTAGTGCGCCCGTTTTGTGCAATGTGCATCATGACAAATGTGTGTATAACTTCACATGCCGGTGACGTGCATGTCCTCACGCCATGCGCGTCGCTCCCGTGTTTTCGATCACAGAGCGGAACATCAGTAACGACGTGGCGGCGTTCCTTCTGCTGATGGTGGACACACCCGGCCACATTGCCATTCCCTCTGACGACGAGTGGAGGCCGCTGAACGACCAGTTGTTCGCCAGCCTCCGACCCGCAGAGACGCCCTTCGACCTCTTCAACAGTCTATCGCCCAGGTAGGTGACACATCGGAAAATCCGTTGGTGAATGTTGGGCATTACTGAAGCGGAGGTCCCAATGTTTGCCAATGCTCTTGGCCATGTTTTCATGTCCTGAATCTAGACATGGTGTTTATTAATGCAGCAAATATTATAGTTATTCATTGATATGAGGTCACCCAGGCCCGTGACCTTATCTGACCTAACCCAGCCAAGCCTCCTGGCCGAGTATTATTAGGTGTTAGCTGGTGTAGTCAGTATAGTGCTAAATTATAGGATAGTTTAGGTAAGGATGGGCTAGGCATTTTGGCTGGACTAGGTCAGATTAGGCTGGTGAGGTGACCCCACCCTAATGGATTGAAATGGTAACTTTTGCGCCAATAACTTAGGCAATAAGCATCATTTTTAGTTTCAAGGCATGGAAAAACAGAAAGGAGGACAGATTTATAGGAGGACAGACAGCTGGAGGCTTCAGATTCACCTTAATTAAATTCTAAGCATTCGAGCTGCATGCATGACTGTATTTCAATGTTTGGTAGGCAAGGGAATATCTTATGTGCATTTATTGTTCCTTCGTCCGTAACGATCGCCCGACTTTTGGCAGGTGTGAAGATATGATAGCATCCTGTTTCATCTACGGCTCACGGATAAACAGCAGCGAGTGTTGCCAGGATGTTTTCTCGGACGACTACTTTGTCTATTATCAGAGCAGGTGCATTACGACCCTCCGGTCCAGGCGACTGACGGCTTTAAACCAGACCAGGCCCGGTGACTACAACGGCATCGGAGTCATATTGAAGGACGACAGAGAAACTTTCTGTGAGTGTGGTGTGGGAGACGGGCGAGAGGAGGAAGGCTATGGGGAGGACAGGGGGAATGAGAGGGATGAGAGAGATTAGACATGCTTGGGTGAAAAGGCTGAACTCGAATATTTTCTTCACATTGCACCTGTTTAGGAAGCAGCGGCATCGCGGTGTCGCTGATGTTGCGCTGGAGAAATCGTTAGTTGCATCCTGCATATTAATTATTGTGGCGGATAACGCATTACTTCGCACAAAACGATGTGAAAAGTTTATCGAATTTAGTGGCCCTGCTGGCGCGAGCCGCGAATGGTATACATTAGCTCGAGATGCTTGAGGACTCGGATTCAAACACCCGGTGCCGGACGTCCGATGATTTACAGATTCACGCGCTAAATTTGTGTGCGTAGGTTTCAAGGAAGCAGATGATCGCTGCACGGGACTTTCCCTGTCTAACAGCTGCGCCCACTCCTGTCCCACAGTCGCGGAGAGGGACATGCGGTTTTCGTTGGTGCCGGCCCAGGAGGGGAACCGGATCATCCTGACGCCGCACTACATCCTGCCAATGGAGTCGGTCATCGAGCAGACGTTCATCGCCACAGTCGGCGCCGTCACCCGGCTCTCGGTCACACACACTGTGGTGAGAAATACTGGCAGGGTGAGAGGACGGATACGGTAAGAGAGCGGGAGTGGTGAGAGAACGGACAGGGTGAGAGAACGGTCAGGGTTAGAAACAGAGACGAAACGGGTTAGAGGCTTGGGCATGGTGAGTGGCAACGACCGATGAAGTTTGATAAACACGTGCTCATTTTCTCCTAACCAGCCGTTGAATGGTTGGGCATAGGCTGCTAAAAACACAAACAATGGCTATAGTTAAACGCAGACATTAGCATTTTGGAATTGCTTTTGGATGAGCTCAATATGAAGCTCGATGAGGTTGGTTCCAGCGTCCGCTGTGTTAGAACTTCTTATACGTTTTTGGTAAGCCGAGTTCTTTCCTATCATATCCTGATGTCTGTTTGATTAAATGAGGTAGGTAGTGAGTCTTTCACTTCCTTCACAGGTGGACCGGACCGGAGAATTCACAGGACTGCTCCCGTTCTCCGAGAAAACCTGCACCGACATACCCCCACATGGCTCCAAAACACCGCCACTATCCTGTCGGGGAGCACTGTACAACTCTGAAATGCGCAGGGTTTGCGGCTGTCAGCACGCCATCACCCTACGGAACGGCGACGACCCGCGCAAGGTGAATGTCTGTGAGCCTCTGGATATGTTTGCTTGCCAGCGCGACTGGCAGGCCCCTGGCCATCAGATAACAAAGGTCGACTGCCCTCATCAATGTCAGAAAATCATCTACGACGTCGTATCGGACGGCTCTCCGATCAAGAGGCCGATGCTGGATAACGAGGCGTTCTTCGGCGGCTCTCCCGTGCCGGTCGACACCGAGCACAATTCCACCTTCTCCGTGGTGATGGTCTTCTACCCGTCCCTCGTCTCGCGGGTAATCCAGCTGAGTAAAGCCACGCTGATGGACTGGCTGAGCGCGTTTGGCGGCCAGCTCAGTCTCTTCATCGGCGCCAGCGTCATCACCATGCTGGAGATGGTGTTTTTCATAGTGCGAATCGTGGCGGTGTGCACTGGTGGGCTGACGGAGCGGTGTTTCGGCACGCCGCGCGTCGGATGCCTCACCGACCAATGAACAAATGACTTAGACTCAAGAAAGTTATGAAGTTTTTTAAGTGTTTTGTCTGTACCTAGCAGTCTACTTGAATCATGCATGTCCCTCAAGGTTCGCGCTTCGTGTGTGCTACTACATATGTGTCGTATTTGCTCTATAATACATTGTTCGCTCATTTTTCGGTCTGGAAAAAAATGAAGTCCTGAAGTAAGGCTAATAAATAGCAAGGTTGTTGTTTCATTTTGACAAGCTTCAGCATATGAATGATTGTTTACATATGCTGATACCCAATTGCCTTATTTCAACCTTATATCTAACCTAATGGGTAATTCATGCATTTGTTAGGCAGACCTTATAACATTTTCGTAATGTAGGTAGGTATGGTCTGTTTCAGTAAGGCGAATATCGTGATGAGTGGCCGCAACAGCCCCCCCCCCCGCACCCCCCCCCCCCCACCCCCACCCCCCAAAAAAACGACGAATGTCACCCAATTGCATTCATTCGCTATGTCAAAGGGTTATTGACCAGACCTGGCCGCCTTTATTTTTCATCTTTCGCTCCCTCCACCAGTTGCGTGTGTCTATGTAAGTAAGCACACACCCGTCAAAGCGTATTGTGGGATCGTTTCACACAACATTGAGACAGCCCCCTGCTCGGCCAGCTCACTCACTGTAATGGGGTGCGTGTTGGCGCCCACTGTCGGTGGCCGGCACAGCGACACACGCTGTCTCAGACCCTGCGCGGTGTATGTCAACACACCACCTTTAACGTATGGTCATTGGTGGCCTGCGCTCGGTGTACTCTGTGCCCCATAATGTACTACCGATGGCGAATGGAGCCAGTGCGTGTTTTTGGTGATGTACCATATATCAACATAATTTCTTATCATTGATGTTTTTTTTTACTAACATTGCGACAGGAGTGTTTTTAGGGCGCGTGGACATGAGCGAATTTTCCGTACCCCATTACAGCGTGGGCTATCAGGGTTCAGCGTGACACATTTGTTGCCCTGTTCAGCGGTTTTTAGGCGCTGCCAATTCACTACGATTCAATTTTATGCGCCGTTACTACCGTGGTGTCCGGTCGGTTGGCATATTTTACGCTTTACTGATGTTACAGAACTATAGTCACCGTGACAGAACTAAGTGGAGAAACGCAGCAGTTCAAAGTAGAGCTCAATGTCGTTGAGAACACTGTACAGAGCATCAAAATGTAGGTATATGAGTCGTGCCGGAAGACATTGTTTATAGTGTAGGTAGTCAATGAACATACCAGTATGTGGCTAATAGGTATGTGCCATTTACTGATTAGAGCGTCCGTCCATTTCAACCATGTGACATCATTCTGCTTTATTTTCTAAGAGATGAAAAGGCCTGCAAAGTGCACCGTAATTACATAGTGTAATAAATAACTATGGTAATTATATGAAGGGTATAATTCAGACATTGACAATCTTGGAAAACCCTTCATTACTTCTTTATTGTCATCGAGTGCGCCAAAGGAGTGGTTAAAACGTAAAGGCAAGCATCTCTGTATTTGCAAATTAACCCGGCCGGGCCCGGGGGTTAATCCCAACCACCGCAGCCCGGGGGGGGCGTTTTTCGCCCCCTGTCTAACTCCGTAAATAAGGGGAGCTACGGAAGCAAAAGCGATACCAAACGAAATGTCCTTACGAGACGATTCCAATGCACCTAAAATTTTTGACCTCAGGTCAATTTTCAAGGTCAGAGGTCAAGGTCAAAGGCCAAAACCGGCACATGTAAAGTGATCTCAAAATAAGCCTTCTAGAGGACGGCAGGCTGCATCAAACCGGCAAAATTGGGTGTCAAACGAAAGAAGAGAATCTGAGGATTCTGAAAATGTGCTCCTAATCAAAGGTCAAGGTCAAGGTAACGCTCAAAATTGACCTCAAACTTGGCACTTTTTCGCACATCTTGCGTGCTAACTTCCAAGATGTTTTGAAATGTTTTGAGGCTTATCAGTTCCCTATTTGTGGTTCATCTTAAGATACAAGGCTGCTCAAAGGTCAAGGTCACAGAAGAGTATCCCTGCTAGAGGCTATTTCACTGATTCAAGTTAGTAATAATAAATAAGACAATTTTGCCATCCGGAAGCTCTAACTGAAGGCTTAGAGGAAAATAGATGCCAGATTCGTGATCAACGGGTACAAATCCATCATAAACGACCTTTCATGTGTCAATGTCAACCAGAGGTCATTCGAGGTCACATGAGGTCAACATGAAACTTGACCTTTTCCGAACAAAATATATATCATTCGACGCGGCTTGACAAGGCGAATGCGATGGTACCACTGCCGTAGCTCTAGGACCATTTTTGTCGAAGTTATTTGCGAAAAACTAAAACCACATTTCGGGGTCGTCGACCTGACCTCTGACCTCAGGTCACCAAAACTATTTTTCTATTTTTCTCTAGGTCAAACGCTACACAGCCGTGCTCGTAATTTGTCTTTATCTCTAAAACTCTATTTTTAGCAGCTATTTGAAGTTTGCGTCTGTGACGCCGAAGTTTGCCGTGCAGGGGTCTAGAAAAATGGACCTTGTGACGTCATCAAGGGGGCTAGGTCCAAATTTTTTACTTCAGAAGATGTCAAATTGATGGGAGAAAAGGTACTGAAAGTTTCGCCTTCCTATCCCTAAGCGTTCGGGAGTTATCGCAAATATTCGCCAGGGGGGTGGGCGAAAAACGCCCCCCCCCCCGGGCCCGCGAGGGTTAAGTGTTGTGTTGTTCCGAAGTAGATGAAATAACGATTAACATATCCACTTGTACAGCGCGCGAACATACATAATGGTGGTTACGAAGCGAGCGAAGCGAGCGTAGTCTTTCCTTAGATTAACGGAAATTTCTGAGTATGAGCGGCCGGCCGACCGGCCGGCCGTGGTCACGATTCTGCGACGCTTATATCTCAGCAACCACTTGACCGATTTACACGCGGTAATTTTTGTAGGGTAGCTTCATTCCTTCTACCAAGTATTGGACTATTGCCGATGCATGAGGGTGACCCTTTATGCACGTGCCACGTGCAAAGCGAAGAGGTGTCACTTTTGTAATTGTTGCAATATCTGGGTAACTACTTGGCCGATTGCGCTGAAAGTTGGCATGTACATAGGTAGGCACCCGCTAGGCAATGCATATCCATGTGCCAGAATTGGGGAGCTGCTGCACGTGCGCACGTGCAGGGGTCGATTCCAGATCTCGAGAACGGCTGGACCGATGCACAGTGGGGCCGTTAACCAGTTTAGGGCGAATTTATTCGTAGCGTTGTTAATATTTCTCAATATGTTTTTCAAATGGTTTAAATGGGTATATTTAGGCATTTTGGGTCATCCCTGATGCTTTCGATATATTCGATAATCGAAAAAGTATAAACACACGATACATATGTATTGCATCACATGTTACATACATACACTTTGAACACTCTCACGACACGCCGCGCTGGTTCGACTCTGCCAGTCACTGCTGTCACTGCTGAACAGTCACTGCTGCTGTGGCAGTCGTCGCTGTCGACATCACTGCTGTCGGTGCCGTCGTCACGACGTAGCTGATTCTCTCTCTCTCTCTCTCTCTCTCTCTCTCTCTCTCTCTCTCTCTCTCTCTCTCTCTCTCTCTCTCTCTCTCTCTCTCTCTCTCTCTCTCTCTCTCTCTCTCCCTCCCCCCTGCCCTCCCCTCCCCCTCCCCCTCCCCCTCCCCCGGCGCTGCAGACCCAGCGCTCGCCACGAGCAGGTAGCCCAGGAGGTCCGACATCGTGTGGATCCTCGAATCCTTGCGGGTGTGTCGAAGGCGGTACTGGCGGACCCGCTTGTGGGTAGCCTCTGCTGCTTCCTCAGACATCATACCGATGGGGAGGTGGCAAGACTCCACCACGGCCGCGGAGTGGCTCAGCAGCTTGTGCAGCGTGGTGGACATGTACCTCTCCACGTACAGCTCAGCCGTGCGGCGGCAGTACGCGGAGAGAGCGTCGATGTCCAGTCGGTGCAGACAGCTGACAGCCTGCAGCACCGTGCCGACCCGGTCGATCAGCTCCTGGTCGACGCTGGTGGAGGCCGCGAACTCGGTCGGTGAGCGGAAGGCGCGGCGGGCGGTGTTGCCGTCGTTGGAGTTGCCACTGCCTCCTGCCCGCGGCTCGTCCACGCGCAGCCCCATCCTGGTCCTGAAGGCCTCCTGCACCTCAGCCGGGTGTACGGAAAGCAGCAGTACGGGACAGGAATGATCAGGTACCAATAATCGAAATCATCGTGGCCAAAGAGGACTTATTTCATACTCTCGAAATAGGTTACGATACATTTGCCACCCAATGACTAGCTGACACACATCCTGACCCATAATAACAGGCTCGATGATTGGCTGCTGTAGACAGTGACATCACTCAATGGGCGGGACTAAAAACCACACGTCATTCCGGATCCTGTCGGGTCACGCACCGTCCGCCCCCAGGTCAGGTCACGGCGCGCGGCTGGGTCATGGCCGAGCGGCGTGCCGTCGGTCGGTCATGTTTAAACTCGAGCTACCGGTGAGGCGAGCAAGTTCGAGCAGGAAAAAAAGGTCGGGCCAAGTCAAAAAATGCTGGCAAATTGCAATCATGCTAGATCTGACGTGGCGGCAAACGGCGGTAGTTGTTGAAATCTTCGGTTTTCATGAAACATCGTTATGAAAACGCTATGCATGTATTGGTTTGATTCTATCAGTCGTAACGTGCAGACGATAGGTCAGCCAGTATTGCAAGTTATCCTATCGTTTTTTAGAGACATTGGGAAGAACAATGGTGTATGATTTATATCAATTCAATATGTATTACACTATGTAAACTTGCGTTACAAAAGTCGCGTTCTTGCCCGCAAATCGGTAGGATATGAGAAGGCCAACAATTTGTCCACTTTGAGTAGTCAAATCACCCCCTAAAAGTTGCCATATGTGTAAAATTCAGGTGGTTTCATAAAATTCAGGCAATTTCCTATACATTCAGCCATATTTCAAGCAGATTTTCGAAAGTCACTTTCTTGATTAAATTCGCCCTAAGCTGGCGCGCGGCCCGTCCGTGCGATGGCGCTCAAATTTGGCACATGGTTAGGGACCGGTTAGTAGGGTGCCGTGCAAAACTCAGTTGGGACCCATTTTGCACGTGCGCACGTGCAGGGTGCCGCTTCCAGATCTCGAGAACGGCTGGGCCGGTTGTACTCAAATTTGGCACATCGCTAGAGACCGGTTAGTAGGGTGCCGTGCACAAGTCAGCTGGAGGTACCTCGTCGAAATTTCGCACGTGCAAGGCTCACCCTCTCGCTCGCTCCGTTAGTCGCCCCAAAAGGCGTTATACTGGTATATAATGAACGGAAAATAGTAAAACACATGAAATAGATCCATTGGAACAAGTAAATGTTCACAATACTCTTTCAGCCTCAGTTGTGCACTGAATTTCAATTTAATGTCAAAAGGTAGGTATGCTGCAATATGTATTCAATGTCACTATCATACTCTAAGGCGTCATTCGTCGCGTGTACGGGAAAACTCGAGATTCGTTGATGTTTTCAGACCATCATTTATTGCCATACTTATCAACAGGAAGATAAAACCTCGTGGCCATATTTCCAGTCACCAACGCAAAAAAAAGGCAACAGCTTGATCCTGTGTGTCCCGAGGTATCGCCTGGACACCGCGATCTCCGACAAATTCAGCATTCTTAGCTACAAGGTGTGCATTGTCATGCATTGTCTATAGCAGGGTGAAGCATTAGCTTCGTTTGATGTCATCTCATTTCAACATTGATGTCATTTACCACAAAATTCGCTGTCTCTAAATGATAGCATCGCATTGTCATGCAATTGCAATGAAACTGAAGCATGCAACGCCAGCTTAATACTAATTTCCATCTTACTCAATATTGCGATAATGCTTGTTACACCATGACATCGACAACGTCGTGTACCGTCAACTACAGTTTCCTCTCTGCCAATTCAGCACATCCATGTCCGTTCCGGTTGTTTTCTCTGTCGCCTCATCCCATCCATGTGCTAGCTGTCCATCCCAGCTCCTTTCCTCCGCCAGTTTAGCCCATGCTGAGCACGCCGGCCCCCTGGCCGAAGCCCACGCCGTGCGGGCCGTACATTTTGCCATAGCACGTGCGACAGAGCAGCTCGTGGTCCGGCCCGCTGCACGTGTTGGTCGAGTCCAGCCCGCGGCTGCACTGGACGCAGCTGAAGCAGTGTCGATGGTAGGCCTGTCGACAGAGAGTGGCGACGGGATACAGCGGTCATTTGCGGCTCCCGTGATGATTTTGACATATAACAAGGTGACAAGGATAACAAGGTGTTATAAAGGGATTGCGGGGAGGGAGTTGGAGAGGATAATGACAGGATAACGAAGCGCGAAATGGAGTGGATAATGGCAAAACTAAGAAAGAGACATCAGACATGACAAATTGGCGAGACTCTGGATATCTGAGCTACATATTATTTACCTCACCAATCATTGCCTCCAAAGAACAACTTTGGTATTTGAGGGTTAAGCCGGTTCGCTGCATTACCTTGCCATTATGGAGCATCCTTTCGGCAGCGTAGACAGCGAACTCGCACCGCGGACAGCCCTCGCCTGGGGCAGCCTTGGGCCCCATGTTCGTGTGGCCCGCTGGCTGGACGTTCTCTCTGGAGAAAGGGTAATTGCAATCAAGGAGGGAGGCCATATTCCTGCTTGGAATGTTCGCATGTAACAAGCCAAACGCCGATCAAGCGTAGTAATTACGAGTACGCCATCGTATATACAACGACTCCAAACGAATGGTTAACGAGACGTCAATCTTGCAACCATATGTGTTTCCCTTACCAACTTTGAATTTGATATTTGACCGGTTTGAATAAGAATGCAAGATTGTTTTGAACATGTATAACGCACCACATTCATTACACATAAATGAATAAAGTAATAGCAGACTTCGTGTTATCATGGGGCATAGTGGCAACTGGGATAGGACCGTAACATCACACATTTGCAGTTGACATTAGCATACTTACAGCCAGCTCATCAACTTCAGAAAGCATGTCTTGCATGACGCGATAATATTGGATCGGATTAATACACTTGAGTGCGTGCAATATCTCTGATAACAGGCTTTGTACTGTGAATCCTACTAAGTAAGTTATTAAATTGTAATTTAGTGACAAAACGGAACCATGTCTGATAAATGTAAAACAAGGCTAGAACAAAGCGTAGTAGCACCTCAAATAATTGGCATAAGCCCCCCCCCCCGAAGTTTATATTAGCCGTTCTCACGGCGGCTATTTGGCTCACATTTGGTTTACATTTGGTGCAGATTTGGCGCAAATTTGGTCAAATTAGTTTTATTGTGTTTCTACGAAGTTATCAGTTTGAGTTGCACATTTGCTTACATACCTACCTGGTTTTCAAATTATCAGACTCTTTTATCAAAAGGGTCTGATAATATACAGACTCTTTTACACTCAGATATTTTTTATATCTTATATATTTATAAAGATATAAAAAATATCTTTTATCAAAACACTGAAAAAGTTCATGATTTGAAAATATTTGTTGAAAAAGAGACTTGGTGCAGATTTGGTCAAGTTTGGTGCGTTAGCCGATAAACCGTAATAAATACTGCTATTGTGAGGAGATGAAATATGGAACTCACTCGGCGTTCTCCTGTTCATCTCCGTGCATAAACGACACCAGGGTGTGCCCGAAGCCGAACCCCTTGGGTCCGAACCGCTTGGCGTAGTCGAGCTTGCAGTAGATCTCGGAGTCGGGACCGTCGCAGGCGATCGTCGAGTCCAGCGGCCGTTTGCAGTCGCGGCAGCTGAAGCACGAAGTGTGCCACTCCTATAGGAAGGGATTTAGCTGCTTCAGAATAACCAAAGCTTCCAACTGTTTCAACGAAAATTTGTTTTGTGATACAGCTTCAAATGAACTGTGGGTGGAACGTCTCGCACTTTCTCTATTCAACGAGCAAAATTTTACAAATAAATAGATAAATAATTAGTAGATAAATAAATCGATAAATAAATATATACTAATCAATAGACTAGTTTAGGTATTTTGCGACACAAATTAATTCGACATTTATGAAAAACAAGCGACTTTTCATGCTTATGTATTCCGACCATCGACGCCAGATTCATCATAGTTTGCGCACATTGCACCAAGGTGAACAAAAATACAGGTGACTGACCTGACCCTTTGACATCATGAGTTCGGCAGCGAAGACGGCTCCTCCGCAGCGCGGACAGCCAGAGCCCTCGGTCGGGCGGATGGTGGTTCGGTCCAGCTTCACCCACTCGGGCTTACTCTGCGGTGACTCGGCCCTAAAAACGGGTCAGGGCGAGGTCAGCGACAGACCTATGTCAGGTCAGTGACAGGTCAGAGTGAGGCAAGCGACAGGTCGATGGCAGGTCAGTGCCAGTTCATAGGGGGTGACACTTACGTGATGCCGATCGAGCGCGTGTCAATGCCGGGTCAGTTTGCTACATCCGATAGCGGCACGCCATCCAGGCCAATGGATGCCGGTTTATGGTTGATAGGTCGTTATCAAGGCCCGAGTAGGTCATGCCAATGCCCACCTTACTGGATGACCTAAGCACGGGAGGTCTGGCGCACTGGCGTATTTTACAAGCACGCAGCTAATATTGATTTAGACATGATCAATGCAATTGTGCTAATGCTTCGCGAACACACCTGAGCGTGACCGTGTTGGGTGTAAGCCGAAGCGTCCCTATTTTCTAATACATATGTAACAATGAACGATTATTGAACAACTACCTGAAGCTCTTAGCAAACAGACGTCGCGCGGACATGTCTGGAAAGTAATCATCAAATGAGTTATGTTGCTAAGTCAACAGTCAGTAATACCATGAGCCTGGAGCGATAAAACATGTTCATGGTTAACGCCTCATTGATCACATATTCCACCTTTCTTTTGCGTGCATTATGAGTAAACCTGAATTTTCCATCCACTAATAACAGGCATCGGAGGACGCTAACTCACGCAATAATGTCCGACTGAAGGAATGCCTTTCCGCCACCAAACCCGTAGCCCTTTGGTCCGTATTTCTTCGCGTAGCACAGCTTGCAATAAACGTCCTTGTCGGGTCCGTCACAGGCAAGGGTCGAGTCCAAAATCCTGTGGCACGCCTTACAGTTGAAGCAGGGCTTGTGATAGCTCTGCAAACATCGGAGTCATGCAGTCAGCAAGAGTCACATAAGACATAAAACATTTTTGTTCTTACATATTTTGCATTGCTAATATTTCGTTTTTACACATTTCACCCCAACCAATATTTTTAGGGAACGAGACATTTATAATGCGCGTTAGCTCCACTACTTGGCACACTTTTATCATAAATAGCCCTCTGCGACTGACCCTGAATCTCGACTTCATCCGCTCGGCCTCGAAGACAGCTCCCCCACAGCGGGGACACCCCTCCCCGGGCGGGGCGCGGATGGCCGCCTCGGGAATATTGGGCACCTCCGCTGGCTCAGCTTCTCTGCCGGGCAGGGAAGGCGAGGGATAGGGCAGAACTCCGAGTTATAAACATAACAAGGCGCAGGTAAAGGTTGTTAAAATCGGAATGAGTGTGCGCGTATCACGGCGGAGTTATTTTAATTTGAATATAAAACCTTAAATGAAAATAAATATGGAAATAAAAAAGGCATTACATGATACTACTGCAAGTGCAGATGTTATTAACACGCGCAGTGGAAGGGTTGCGAGTACTACGCCCAGTGGAAGGGGGGAGGGCGGATGGTGCCCCCCCCCCCCAAGATCTCAGCTCCCAGTGGAGCTAGGAAGACGAAATTTGGAGGGTAGGTGGGGGCCCTAAGTCACTCTGTTGTGTGTGAATTTCATGACCCTAGGTCAACATCTTCAAGGTCAAATGAGGTCAAATGTGGTCAAATCTGTCATACGAGTATAAGCGACTTTTTTTGCGTTTACACGCCGTTAACTCAAAAAGTTAACGGCCGATTTTCTTTTTCACTATACGAAAGAACATACATTTATGAGTATGTATGGTGAATTTCTAGTTAATCAAACAATAAATATGGCAGTTAGAACTTAGAAGCCTGATAAGAGTAAGATGTCGCCGGCTGAAGCGGGATCGGCCGTAGCGGGAAAAGCGGAAATCACAAGTTTGTGTTTGCACACTCATAACTCAAGTTTTTACCGGCCGATTTTCACATTTCTTTGACCATAAGATTGCCTGTACATTTCTTAGTCTTCTCACTAAATTTGACGCGAATCGAGCATAATCAGCGGTAAGGAGCGTCAGTGGCGTATCCAGGATCTTGGAAAGGGGGAGGCCAAACCTGCTCGAGGGGCCCCATCCTTACCTTAGGGGCCCCAGTAGTAGCGTACTTAACTCACACCCAGGTGCGGTTCTTTGCCACTTTCGCCATGTGAGGGAGCCTTTTTAGGCACACTCGGCAATCTAAAAATAGAATGTTGGAACGTGAAAAAGGCATCGATATCGATAGCTCTGTAGCGTACAATTTCTTTCAGCAGTAGGCATAAAGTTTTTTTTTGCTTTGGTCGTCGCTAGGCCCTAGCGACGACCAAAGCAAAAAAAACTATATGCCTACTGATCTTTAGTGACCCTAGCGGCTAGGGTCACTAAAGATCATCAAAAGCAAAATGTCTTTGCCATTTTTTTAAAGATTGTAACATTTTTCAAAGGGCAGATGCCAGTCTCTTAGTGTCTTGCTCTGGTCGAGGGCTGATACCCTAAACTTTAAAAGGGCCCGACTCGGGTTGAGCTCTGATCTAGACTCTGATGGCTCTATGTCGCCCACATTGGCCTCACTCCGACCTCTGAAGGCTCATTCTGGCCTTTGAAAGCCCCACACCGGCAACAGGGTGAACCACGCTGGCCTCCGGGCCCCATAATGGCCTCAGGAGACCCATGCTATGGCTAACCTCACAGGGCCCCCCGCTGGCTCTTGGGAGCCTTTGAGTCAGTCTCTGATATCCCTATGCCGCTCTCGAACCCACGCCGGTCTCTAGAACCCCATGATGCCCCCTGAGGGTCCCACGCATGCCTTTAAGGGCCACTCCTACCTTAGGGTCTCAGGGGCCCAAACATGCATAAGGTCTGAAGAGTGGCTGCCGAGGCCCTCGAGGTGGTCTCTAATGGCCCGACGCCAGCCTATGAAGGCCCGCGCTGGCTTCTGACTGGCCAAGCACCAGCTTCTGAAGTCTGGAGTCAAATGACAGATGGCCCCACGCTGGCCTCAGAGGGTTCACGCTGGTCACAGAGGGCCCCACACTTGCCTAAAAGGGCTCCACATTGTCTTCAGAGGGCCACAAGCTGGTCTCCGTGGCCAATGGACCTCAATCTGACCAAAGAAGGTCCCATGTCTCTGGGCTTAAAAGACCCAACGCTGGACATAGACGGCCCCATGCTGGACATAGAGCGTCCCACACTGGCCTTAGAAGGCCCCACAATGGCCTTAGAGGGTCCCACGCTGGCCATAGAGGGCTGAGCGCTGGCTCCTTAGGGCTCTACGCAAGCGTCAAAGGGTCCCACGCTCAAGTCTAAGCTTCTTTATGGCCGCCAAAGCGACCTCTGAGGGCTCCACGCTAGTCTCTGGGGGCTCAGCCTTGGCCTCTAAGGGCCCTACGCTGGCCTATGAGGGCCATCAAATGGCATGTTAAGATAGTTTGACGCAGTTTGACCCTGAAAGTTACTGGTGGCCCTTCATAGGCCGGCAAGGGACCCTCACAGGCCGGTAAGAGGCCCTCGGAGTCACTGGTAAGTGGTCGTCAGATGCGCTGGCCTAGGGCCCTCGGAGGCGCCGGTGTGGGGGCTCTCAGAGCCACCGAAGTAAGCCCTTAAGAGGCACTGGTGTGGGGCCCTTAGAGGTGGCAGTGAAGGCCATCAGAAACACTGGTGTGGACCGTGAGGCCATATCAAACGGGTATGGGGGCCCTTACAGCTGATCCCTCATTGGCCGGCAACGGCCCTCAGAGGCCGACAAGGTCCCTCAGAGGCCGGCAAGGTCCCTCAGAGGCCGGCAAGGTCCCTCAGAGGCCGGCAAGGTCCCTCAGAACCCGGCGTGGGGCCTTTCTGGAGAAAGTGTGACTACACTAGAGCCCATGGGGTGTTCTCACAAGCCCTGTGGTGTCCTTTCCAGTTGAAGCGTGGCCAGCGCGAACCCTCTGCTGCCAATTGGTACCGCAGGGTCCCCCGGGCCCGAGGGGACCCTAAACCTTATAACGGACACGTGCCCCTCGCCCCTGGCTATGCCGTTGAATCCAAGTGATCAGGGGCCTCTCAGGTGACCAGGGGCCTTTCAATTGACCAGGGGCCCACCAGGTCACTAGGGGACCCTCTGATAACCCGGGGCCGGTTATTCCAGGGGCTCCACGGGTAACTAAATACCTTCATGTGACTGCAGGGGCCCTTCATATAACCAGGTAATCCCCGGGTAAACATGGGCCCCTAAGGTGACCAGGGTTTCTTCAGGACACTGGCCAGGGGCCACCCAAGAGATCAGAGGCCCCTCAGGTAGCTGGGGTCCCTTAGATAACCAGGGGCCCCTCAGGTAACCAGGGGCCCCTCAGAAAAACAGGGGTCTCAGGCAATCACGGGCCCCTTAGGTAATCAGGGGCCCCTCAGATAACCAGGGGCCCCTTAGGTAGCCAGGGGCCCCTCAGATAGCCAGGGCCCCTCAGGTAATCAGGACCCGTAGCAAGGGCCCCTCAGGTAACCAGGTCTCCTTCAGATAACCAGGGGCCACCTCAGATAACCAGGGGCCCCTCAGATAACCAGGGGCCTGTCAGATAACCAGGAGCCTGTCAGATAACCAGGGACCCCTTAGGTAGCCAAGGGTCCCCCAGATAACCAGGGGCCCCTCAGGTGACCAGGGGCCCCTCGGGGCCTCCGTGGCCCGCCTTGGGTACGTCACTGCACTCAAGTGATCCAAAGGGCCCACTTGCATGCTTGATGCCAAAGGGGGAGGCCATGGCCTCTTGGCCTCCCCCCTGGATACGCCACTGAGGAGCGTGATGTAAAGACGGAACCTTCCCGCCCCGGCACAGTCTACAATTCAGGCGGCGCGTAACGGCTGGCGCCGGCCGCCGCGCCGCCGCGGCGGCAGGATGTTTGAATTTACACCGCTATTACTAGAAAAGTTGCGAACCGATTTTCTTACATCTTGCACGAGAAGATCTGCAATTCAATTCTGGACAAGTAGCCGAATTTCACACTTATATTGTCTTTGCGGCGCGAGTTATTGGCGAAAAACAGGAGGGGTGGGCGAAATCCGCCCACCCTTCCACTGCGCGTGTTAAATTGCTGTTTATGGTAGCTTCATCTAAAGTATCTATATATTGATTTATATATTATATCAGACATTGCTATCTAAATAACTTTATATACATGTATCGAATATAAAAGATGCATCAAACTGAAACCACTACCTAGTGGACAAAATAAAACTGGCACTAACATGACCAAATATGTACATACACTACCGAATGCGTACAGTTCTCGCAAGAATCAGCTAAGGAATGCGGTAATTGAGGGAGTCTAAAAACTCTCGTATTTACTGCTCTGGCTCGGGCGCGACATCCAGGGCCTCGGGCCGCTGCCCGTGCTCGCTGCCCTTTGGAGTGTAGCGCTTCCCGTGACATTCTGAAAGCAGGATGGCGGTGCGGTGAGTGCAGTGCACACTGCACAGCAAAGCAGCAATGCTGAAAGGAAACTATATCTATGTCACTAAATCTAAAAAGCAGCGAATAACTTACATGTCTCATGTTCAGCAATGTTCTGAGTCGTGACTACCACGCATCAATAAACGCATGTGCTCAGAACCATTCCAGCCTCGCCGAATCTTCATATCTAATAGCACAAGGATTTTTTCCGCTGTTGGTGATTATGAAAGATGCGTTCCATTTTACCGCTCCAATTTATCATGACATTTGCTTAGAATTGTGACAATTACCAGTTACCACTGCCAAATATCTATTGTTTTTCAATACTTCTGGGAAAAAAATGGTAAATGATCCAGGAAATCATTCATTCGACAAAAATGAATAGTGCAAATTATAGTTCTAATGCTTCTATGATGTGATGACTGCCAACCCAAGATTAAAATGGGACCTGAAGAAAATACGCATCTTTTAGTTAACAACTAAATCAAAGAAAAGCGCTCTGAGAAGGTTGCCTTGCCAACAATTTAAGACAATAAAAAAGTGCTGACGTCAGTTGGTAGGCTGTCAGCTCCTCGGGTGCCAGAAATGGCTGTCCGTCACCGGTGACCATGAAATCGGTGCCCGCTGGCCCAGAGCCAAAGGAGGGGCGTCGCGAGTACCATTCAGTGGCGTAAAATTGTTAGTGCACGCCTGTGGGCGTCTTTCAGATGTACTCAGCCAATCTTGCTTATTGATCCGATAGAACTGAAGCAATGATAGCGTTCTGCAACCAAATTAAAGAAAAAATCATATGATCCGCGATTCACAGTGCACCATGTAGTGTAAGCCAGTTCTGAGTTGCTTACACTGTACGGGTGGCTGTGAATCGGGGAGTTTTTGGTTTTTTAACTCCAGTATCGGTAGATGGATGTGTGGATGTCACCTGCGTGTCTGGGCGACCAGAGACGGCGGCCAAAAACCGCGGTCGACACGCACCTGTCGCATACGTCAAGTTCTGGGTCGCGTAGCGAGAGCGTCTTGGCAGCGCGCCTTCGACTTGGGGCGAATAGCTGGGCGGGGGTGTTCACGCATAATTAGAGCGGGAGCGAAGCATTAGACAAGCGGTGATAGTCGTGTAAAACTGCGCAAAAAAAAACTCCCGAACGTCTTATCACTGCACTGAAGCAAGCCAAGCATGGAAGCGCAGTAGATCAGAATATGGTGGCTGAGTAAAAAGCTCTAGTAAGCACATGCTTGGCGAAATGAGAGCAGAACTCACTGCGCCTTTTTGGCGCTGATAATCTTCTTGATTGTGGCGGCGCCTGGCTCGTCTGGAGGCACATTCTCGTACTGGCGGTTGAAGTTCACTGTCAACAGGTGTTCCGGACATAAGTCACGCCTATAGGTACTTATCTGCAATTCATTTAATACTTCATGGTAGCTCTCAAACTATGGTAACAGATAAGGCCATGAGTTTTGAAGTAATCAGACCGTCCACTAAAATGCCCATGGCATGTCACGAAATATGTATATGTTACGGCCCGTTTGAAAACCCGGCCCGTATTAATGCTGCCCGGCCCGCATTAATACTGACCGGAGACCTGGCCCGTATTAATACGGGCCGGTCAGCATTAATGTGGGCCGCCTTGCCGGTCGGTATTAATGCGGCCGATTTAGGTGGGCAGTATGAATGCTGCCCACCTTTTATTTCAAAACTTATCCGTCTGCTGCAAAATCAATTACATTAGCATGTCTTTATAGACGGCGGCTTACTGATAAAAGTTGAACGCCATGTGTAAATATTCGCCAACCCCGCCTCGAACCCGCAACCATTCGATTACAAGACCGGAACACATACCCCGAGACTAGCGAACAGATCGAAAGGCAGTGAATTGGGCAAGCAGTTCAAACTAGTGCTCGGCAATGATATGGAACAAAACGTGCTCGAGAAAATAGATGCTATTATACGTGATTAACCCGCGCCCCGCTGGGGGGGGGGGCAGAATCTGCTCTCCTCCCGTTTTTCGCCAATAACTTCTAAACGCGTTATGCCAGCGACGTCAAACTTTCGGTTCCTTATCATGCATCAACTTGACACGTTCCCTGAAAATTTGAGCGAAATCCGTCGGAAATTTTTTTGAGAAATTGACGTTTTAGTGACGTCATGTTCGCCATTTTCGCCTCAAAAACGGCAAAATTTCAAACGCCGCTAACATCTTCATTTTTAAAGGAATCAAGACATAACAAAAAAGGTTATGCGTGATTCCACTTTGTCTATCAAATGGCTATCTCGGTTTTTTGAAAATTTTGGATTTTGGCCCAAATTTTTTTCTTAAAAAAACTAATTTTTTTGGGAAAATGATAATAAAATCCAAAATTTTGAGTGTATCGAAAAACCGGAATATATGTCAGAGAAGTGGTCTATGTGCACCTACATACCAATTTTTGGAAGAATCGGTTCAAAAATGTGGGAGTTATTCAAAATTTTATGACGTCACGGCACACAAAATTTTTGAAAAATGATTTATTTTGGAAGTTTTGGACCTCGTACGGAAACAAAAATAGCACCATTCGATTCGCCGTGAAAAACTGCATCAGATAGACACCTTTTTAGGCCTTAAAACCCAACTTCAAAATTTGACCTCACTTGACCTGACCTTGACCTGACCTCGACCTGAAATTCATCCAGAGGTGGTCCATATCACTTATTGAGTGTGCCTATTGAATTCTATGAGTAAAGTGACCCATAAAACATTTGTCGCACATGCCCTTTACTATATTTTGTTTTTGGTGACCTGACCTGACCTGACATGACCTTGACCTTGACCTTTGAATGACATTGTATGCAACGAATATTGTCTTGGTAGTCTAAGAACACGTTTTGGGCAATCAGTCTCAGTCCATTCTTCGGCAACTACGGTGCAAGGCCGATACTGTAGAAACTTGCATTTTGTACCCTTGACCTGACCTTGACCTGACCTCTGACCTGCTTAAGCAAAAAATGGGCTCTTAAGATCTGCCTTGTTGAGAGCTTTCGATTGCCGTTTTCCCCGTCTTTCTACGACCATCGGTTCGGAAGTTAGGGAGGGGCAGAATCTGCCCCCCCCCCCAACAGGGCGCGTATGGCTGAATAGCCCAGCGGGGCGCGGTTAAAAATAGTTCAAAACACCATTTAGAGAAAACAAACGAGGGTTTATCATAATTTTGTAGAGACAACCAGCAATGTTCATCTAGACGTTGCCCAGGGTAATAAAAGCAGGTCTAACACATCGCCCAACCAAGGTCACCTCAGGGAGTGCCGACACTGCCGCGCGCCCATTTCTTCCATTACCGCTGGAGGACCGACAGTGAGTATCAGCGTATCACGCATCTGTTTCATTATCTGATCTTAATAACTAGTGATCATAAAGAGTATGGCAACTTCATTTTGAAAATGTCATAATTCGAGGACTTTAGCACTGATTTCCACTTAACCCTCGCACTTATAAGGGGGGGGGGTCGAACGGACCCCCCTCGTTTTTTGCGAATAACTCGCGTAAAAAACGGCCGATCGCGACGAAACTTTCAGTACCCTCGAGCTATTCAATTTTACACCTGCTCTAAAATTTCATGACCCTGACCCAAATGACCTTTGACCTGTGACCTGATCCTCGAGACCATGTTTGGCCGGAATCGCAATTCAGCGTATGTTGGCTCATATTATCTGCGTGTTTCTAGTCTTGTTGTGGTTTTAAACACTGGAACATGTAAAATGATGTTGTACCAATGCATTATGGTGGGTGTCAAGGTCATGTATGGTGTAAGGTCAAGGTATGGTGGGTCTATACGCTGAAGATACCACGAAACAAACATTTACTAGCCAACAGTCAAAAAGTATAAGACATTTAAGACCACTGCAGGCATACGCAGCATTTGCCAAGACATGGAATAGAGACTAGTTGGCTAGCTTTGATATGGCCCGAGTTTTCATATGGCCGTGAGGAAAAAAGTGGGCTGTATTAATACTGCCCGGCCCGTATTAATGCTGACCGCCAGGCGGCCCGCATTAAGGCTGACCGGGGGCCGTATTAATACGGGCCAGGTCTCCGGTCAGTATTAATGCGGGCCGGGCAGCATTAATACGGGCCGGGTTTTCAAATGGGCCGTAACATATATACCGATTTCCAACACAAATGGTAAGCTGAGCTTTTCGAAGGCTTTCTGATGCACGATACACATGACTGTCGTTGCTGAGTTCCCTACCGCACTACCGGTCGTGTCAGGTGGCAAGGCAGAATGGTTCTTCACGGACCATTGGTGTCTACGACGACTGACTGGGTAATTGAGCACGTTTGTCCGGAATTAGTGCTGGCTACTGTGTAGCACTGAACAATTTCCCATCTATCCTAACAAAAGTATAATTATTATGCTGCATTTCACTGGAATAAAAGCAGAATGGGAATCACATGTCATTTATTCATTGACAATTACCTCTCTGCGCCATTGCTTTGAAAGCCCTTTGTCAAGAAACAGCATAAGTAATGCACGATGCAATGAGCTGCAAAGGCAGAAGGTTCCTCAAAGTATTAACACTATGGTATTAACACCTACATATCTTTGGATATCTAATGACTCTAATAAATGGCTCATTTTCTGGTGACTGGCGTTTCGTTTTGGTTTATCAAACAAGAAAATATAAGATAAGCAATTTCTGAGTTATCAGCAATGCATACACATGTCGATGAGTTTTTCTCATTTCAAAACCTTTATATTTCGCAACAACAGAAAGGCTTGATTGAGGGACCAAATTATTAAGATCCGTTCACCGCCCGTTCGCAAAACAAAATGGCGAAGACGAGACGTTGTCTCCCCCCCCCCCTCAACGCCCACACACCCATAAAGCTTATCAATCGACTTCTTTTATCAATAAGGGTCATTGGAAGTGCTTGGCAAAATGCTTCGTAATTATCCAGTTAGGTGATACATAGATCATACAACGATGCGTAAACATAAGTAAAAAAACTTATATGGATATTTCTATGTATCGTACCAAATCATCGATTGTTAACCTACATAGGCTACAAAATATGTTATCCATTTTAAACTTTTAACGGAATAATTCGGGATGATTGCCTAAAGAGGAACAAACTAGGGTGACCCGCGTGCTCCGCAACGCGAAAAGGGATATTTTCGATCGGCGGGTGTTCGGTTGTTCTTGTGTCGGTTGGGTTATCTATCCATTTCGGTCGATTGCTTTTTGACGGCTAAACGTTTTGGTTTGTGGAAAAAATATCCACCGCATCGAGGTGCCCGTGTCTGATAACTGATAAGCATGCTTTCCACTTCAGAATCTGTCAAATGTGCTTTGTAATTTAGGCGCGTAGTTTTATGACAAATTAAAGGCGTAGATAATTTTCACTAAAAATCGTTTTGCAGAGGTTTGAAACATTTCTATTTTTAAGAATACTGTTGCTTGTCATGCAAACGTGATGATTGGATCTTGGAGAGAATTGAATGCTCTTTCCAATGATAGCATTTTCAATTGTCAAACGTATCAGGTTAAGCAGCAAAATCCGTGTAATTATTTAGTGGCACATTTTGGACAAATACCATTTAATTCAGCGATTTTTTCCACATTGTTTTTGATCAATTAGCTTTTCACAATTTTTCCATGAGAGACGGTACATTTTTATTGCTAATAGGCGCTGTTTCAACTCATTCCGTCTGACGATCACCTGAAATTAATATAAATTCCAAAATCCGTCCAAAACGTCCATTTTTCAAAAGAAAGTGTCCTCCCCGGTGCACGTGGCGCGTGCCAACCCCTGCACCGCACACCATTCGATAGCCCGTTCGATTCTCTACACGATGCTGTTTTCCCCGTACCGGTCGGGCCCACGGTTACCGAGATATTGCACCGGGACCGGACCCGTGTCGGGCAAATGTGGCTGTTTTCGCCCGTTTTTGCCAGCCGATTAATACATGTAAAGTCTATGACGCGAATTTGCACTTTTTTCGCTATCGATCCGATCGAGCTGAGACCCATCAAAGGCACGTTGTCCATCCTTGTTCTATGAGTTGCGCAAACTTCAGCGCGGTAGGTGCAACGGTGTGACCTGTAACCCGCGCTACGTAGCACCATGTCGCGACCTTCGTAATAGACAGAAACTACGTCACCACAAATAGTAATATAGACTAGGGTGACCCGCGTGCTCCGCAACGCGAAAAGGGATATTTTCGATCGGCGGGTGTTCGGTTGTTCTTGTGTCGGTTGGGTTATCTATCCATTTCGGTCGATTGCTTTTTGACGGCTAAACGTTTTGGTTTGTGGAAAAAGTATCCACCGCATCGAGGTGCCCGTGTCTGATAAGCATGCTCTCCACTTCAGAATCTGTCAAATGTGCTTTATAATTTAGGCGCGTAGTTTTATGACAAATTAAAGGCGTAGATAATTTTCACTAAAAATCGTTTTGCAGAGGTTTGAAACATTTATATTTTTAAGAATACTGTTGCTTGTCATGCAAACGTGATGATTGGATCTTGGAGAGAATTGAATGCTCTTTCCAATGATAGCATTTTCAATTGTCAAACGTATCAGGTTAAGCAGCAAAATCCGTGTAATTATTTAGTGGCACATTTTGGACAAATACCATTTAATTCAGCGATTTTTTCCACATTGTTTTTGATCAATTAGCTTTTCACAATTTTTCCATGAGAGACGGTACATTTTTATTGCTAATAGGCGCTGTTTCAACTCATTCCGTCTGACGATCACCTGAAATTAATATAAATTCCAAAATCCGTCCAAAACGTCCATTTTTCAAAAGAAAGTGTCCTCCCCGGTGCACGTGGCGCGTGCCAACCCCTGCACCGCACACCATTCGATAGCCCGTTCGATTCTCTACACGATGCTGTTTTCCCCGTACCGGTCGGGCCCACGGTTACCGAGATATTGCACCGGGACCGGACCCGTGTCGGGCAAATTTGGCCATTTTCGCCCGTTTTTGCAAGCCGATTTATACATGTAAAGTCTATGACGCGAATTTGCACTTTTCGGGCCCGCGCCACGCGCTCGCTATCGACCCGATCGAGCTGAGACCCCTCAAAGGCACGTCGCGCTTCCTTGATCTATAAGTTGCGCAAACTTCAGCGCGGTAGGTGCAACGGTGTGATCTGTAACCCGCGCTACGTAGCACCATGTCGCGACCTTCGTAATAGACAGAAACTACGTCACCTCAAATAGTAATATAGACTAGGGTTACCCGCGTGCTCCGCAACGCAAAGGGGGGATTTTTTGACCCGTGGGTATTGATTTGGTCTGTGTCGATTTGGTTGGTAGATATCCATTTCGTTCGATTGCTTTTTGACGGCCAAGCATTTTGTAAGAAACAAAAAGATACATCGCATCGAGGTGCCCGTGTCGTATTATCATGCGTTCTACTTTAGAATGATTCGAAAACTGGCGTGAAGTCTTTTGAGGGCCATCGATGAATTTCTCTAAAAATGACGATGCAATGGTTTGGAAAATTTACGTTTTTAAGAATACTGTTGCTCATCATGCAAAAATGAAGACTTAACCTTGGTCAGAATTGAATGCTCTTTCCAACGGTGCCATTTTTGATTGCCAGATACATCAGATCATGGAGCAAAGCCATTTTGATGAACAAAGTGACACAAAATTGACAAACACCATTTTCTCCCGTGATTTGTACCACCTTGATTTGGATCAATCAGCTTTTCACAATTTTTATATGATAGGCGGTACATTTCTCTTGCAAATAGGCGTTGATTCAACTCGCTCCATTTAACGGTCACCTAAAAATAAAATTAATTCCAAAATCCCTCAAAAACCGCAACTTTTCAAATAAAAGTGCCCTCTCCGGTGCACGTGGCGCGTGCTATCCTCTGCATTGCACACCATTCAATAGCCCGTTCAATTCTGTACACGATGCTGTTTTCCCCGTGCCGGTCGGACCCCTGGTCACCAAGATATTGCACGGGAACTGGACCCGTGTCGGCCAAAATTAGCCGTTTTCGCCCGATTTCGCACGCCGATTTATACATGTAAAGTCTATGACGCGAATTTGCACTTTTTGAGCACGCGCCACGCGATCCCTATCAATCCGATCGAGCTGAGACCCCTCAAAGGCACGTCGCGCATCCTTGATCTATAAGTTGTGCAAATTTCACCGGGCTAGGTGCAACGGTCTGGCCTGTAGTCCACGCAAAGCACGACCAAGTCGGGACCTCGGTAACGGACAGACGCACCCTCCTCAAATAGTAATATAGACAAGCGGCTGCGCCACTTGCTTTGCTGCGTGGTAGGAAAAAATTGCGGCACCAGCCAATTTGCTTTCGAATGGTGTTCGATTCAAATCGATGTGTCGTCTAGAAGCATAGATATCGACGGAAATGTGAAGAGATTTAAAAAAGAACTGTTCTGAGGGCTTTGTTGGATGAAATTTGGCTGATACGGGGTCAAGGGGTCAGCCCCGGTCACTTTGGGTCAGGCCAGGTCACATAGGTCACCTCTTGTCCGATGGGATCAGCACGGGCCACTATTCTACTTTTGCCTCCACTACTACCTACCCCTACCCTTACCACTACCACTACCACTACCACTACCCCTACCACTACCCCTACCCCTACCACTACCACTACCACTACCCTTACCACTACCCCTACCCCTACCCCTACCACTACATCTACCCCTACCCCTATCACTACTACTACCCATACTCCTACCCCTACCACTACCCCTACTACTACCCCTACCCCTACTACTACCCCTACCACTACCACTACCCCTACCCCTACCACTACACTACCCCTACCACTACCCCTACCACTACCCCTACCCCTACCAACACCGCTGGGTCATGTCAGGTCACAGAATAATTCGTGCCATTCCATTGCCCTTACTCAATTTTGTCGGAAATGGCGCTTTGTGGCAAATGTGGCGCATTGCGGCAAATGCGGCGCATCTGTACCTATTGTTTGAGCATGCATCTTGGCACCAAATTGCACCCATATCGGACCATATTTGACAAAACTGTGCGAGTTGCGGCAAAAATGGCGCGTTGTGACCAATGTGACGCATTGCGGCAAACACAGTGCATTTGTATACTCGTATCGCAAACTGTTCCCATTGAATGAAAATCAACACATTCTCTCGCCACTTTTTATTCAAATTAAAAACTTGCCCATCCGCCAACGCGAGGCACCCGCCACCGATCGGCATGCATTTAGCTCACAAAGGTCGTCGACTCCGGCTCTCAATGAAGATCTACGAACCGATCAAAATTTCATTGGCGCTCTTCCAGCGCGTCCCACGCGCGAACCGTGCACCCCAGCGAGTCGGAACCTAGAAAAGGCACTGACCCGCTCTGTCACCTAGAAGGTGTGCAAATTTCAACCCCCTACGATATACCGTCTGCCCTGTAGGCCGGCTAAATTGAACCCACTACACGACGTGGCGGACAAACAAACAAACAAACAGATGGATCCTGTTGAAATAGTAAGATAGATAAGTCGAATGTGTTTTATGCAGGACGAGTCACAAGTAATAAAAGATGACAAGCCACGTGCCGAACAGCTAAATGGTTGCCGTTTTCAGACAGATTAGCGGAGGGAGCTGTAGTCAGGCACCGCTAAATAGAATGCAACTTCTAGGTGGGAGAATATCTTTGAAAAGCTAGGATCTTTTAAATAATAGAAAATCTGGACGAATCTGAAAAGGTCAAGAAAAATCCATAGAATCGTTGAAACCCGCAATTGCCAAATTTTAACAAAACGTTCCTTTTGTGATCAGCGTATGCTTAAAGGGACTATCCCATCTTTAACATGGGGTTTGAGTTGAGATAGCCAAGTTTGCGGCGAGGTTCAGAAACCACTATCTATCTAGGTTGCAACCCCCGCGGCCTCTTGGTGTTGAAGAAATTCGTTCCCTTCATTTGAAAATGGGCCTTGTACAAGGCCCTATCTTCAACATGGAGCGACCGTTAGTGTGACGTCACCTCGTTTAGTCATTCTGATTTAAATGGGTTTGTTCGTTGAAAAATCGCTTAAAACTTGGTCCGAACTTTGTTGTGGTGCCTACAGAGTAAAAAGAATCAGCTTTTTGACAGTAATGTGGCCTGGGGAAGGAGGTAATTTTGGGCTGTGACGTCACATATTTGAAAGTTTGTGTTTGGAATATGGAAAGCCTAAGATGTTTAATGAAAAATAAATGCCAGAACCGTGTTCCTGGTCATCCAATCTATAAAGTCGGGCACAATTTAACTGGTTTTAACAACATTTTAGCAGGTGGGATAGTCCCTTTAAGCTCTACAGCACATATTGCACTTAGTTTGCACTATCTATCAGAAATCCGCATGAACGCTACCAGATTGAAATGGATTGGTATGCAAGCAAAGTAACTTCAAATTAGCCCATTTTTAATACCTTTGAACTCGTCGAGTTTCTTCATGGTGCCCAGCAGCTGAAGCATCGGTCCTACCCAGCCGCACGAGAAGCCTCCTCGGACGTGCAATAGAGCGGCTGCAAGATGAGTTATACGGAGGGAAAAGAGAGAGAGAGAGAGAGAGAGAGAGAGAGAGAGAGAGAGAGAGAGAGAGAGAGAGAGAGAGAGAGAGAGAGAGAGAGAGAAAGCGAGAGAGAGAGAGAGAGAGAGAGAGAGAGAGAGAGAGAGAGAGAGAGATAGAGAGAGAGAGAGAGAGGGAGAGAGAGAGAGAAAAGAGAAAGTGAGAAAGAGAGTTAGACATAACGAAATCCACTGGTGTGAGAAAATATATGCGCAACATCAAAATTAACTGCAGAATCTCTCATACACTGCCTTTAAACGTGCAATGTCCATCATACATAGGAAGTATGCCTTATGTTGGAAGTGAATATGATTTTATCAACGGTTCGCCAACATACAGGAGGGCTTAAGACGTAGTCAGATGAGAATATGAGCGGAAATAAATAGCTCTTTCCCTGTTTCCTATTAATGCATCACGTTTCTGTTGATCCATACCAACATTTATCCGGTCCCAAATTGGTCCACCAGGGAATTTCACGTTCATAGGGCTCTACTCACGTTTAGATGACTTCTGTTCGGGCACGACATCTTTTTCCTCGACAGACTTCTTCTTTTTCCTTTCTTCCTTTGACCTCTTTCGCTTCTTCTTTTCCTTCTTTTCGTCCGTCGTCTCATCAGCCTTTTCCACTGGCTTTAATTCACCTTCTTGAGCTTCATTCTCTGTCGCAGGATCATGTGCAACATCAGTGGGCTCTGAGACCTCTACTGCCTGTGGCTCAGTCTCCTCTAGAGGCTCCATTCGCGATTGTCGAGCATCCTCCGCCGCTTGTTCAGCGCTAGCGACTTCGTCTTCCGTCATCTGAATAGTGTCAGGTTTGTCTTCGTCTGCTTTGGTAACTTCTGTAGCTTCCGCTGGCGCTTCGGAAGTCTCAGAGACTGTGACTTTTTCAACATCTGCGCTTTCTTCCACTTCAACATCATGAGTTTCGGCGGGAATGGGAGTAGTGTCGGTCATCACGACAGACGATGCATCATGCTGGTCTGTTTTCCCTTCTTCTTCACGTCCTACTCCTGTCACCTCGCTCGTCGATTGTGCAGCAATGTCCGCCGGATCAGTTTCAGGAACTTCACCCTGCGTGGATTCATGTTTGTCATCAACGTCTGTCTGAGGCTGATCCCCACTCTCCTCCGTTTCCTCAACCAGCTCTTCCAGGAGCTCCTTCTGCTCCTTTGCCTCATTCTCGGGATCTTCAATGACGGTAGGCAGCATTTCCACCATCTCGTCATCCAGCGGCAGCTCTTCCACTGGCTCCAGAATGTCAGTAGTCTCACCCTGCTGCTCCGGCTCGGTCTCTATCGGTGTCGCATTCTCCTCGACTACCACTTCGGCCATTTCTTGAGCCACCACTTCGACCACAGCGTCCTGAGCTGGAGCTGGTTCCACTTCATCCACTGCTACTGTCTCTGACGGCTCGCCCACGGCAGGAGCACTGGCAGGGGCTGCAGCAGCCGCTGGCTCTTCAGCGTCCGCCATCGCGGGCGGAGAAACTGTGGGCCGATAGGCCTCTGGACGAGCTGGAAGAAAGGTACGCTGCGTCCAGGCCTAGCCGCAGACAGTGGTAGAAGATCAGCTCACGCCGGGTCACTGCAGGCTCAGATCTCAGGCGTCTGCGGCCGGTCACCAGCCCTGCTGGCACGCACTGCCACTGGGTGACAACAGGCTACTGTCAGCGGCGGCGAGTGGCCGGTCGGACGGCCGGACGGTCGGCGGTTAAATCTGTCCCTGCCCGGACAGCGACTGTCCCATTCCGGACAGCGGCTGTCCCCCTGCACCGGACAATGGCTGTCCTCGCACCGGACAGTGGCTGCTCGTATAGGACAGATACTGACTATTCTACAGAACAGAAACTTGCTGTCCTATTCGGACAGGTACTGGTTGTCTCTATCGGAGAAATAATGGCCTTCTCTGTCAGCGGGTTCAAACACTGCTTATCTGACGCTACTAGATGTCCCCAACGGACG